AAGTGCAGGGAAAAGACAAATATACTCCAAATGATTAACCTTGGCTACCTCAGGGTTATGGGGAAGGTTGGGATAATAACACACTACAAATATTTTCTTCTCATGCCTCTATAGTATTTTGTTTTGTTTGTTTGCTTGTTTGAAACAGTGTCTTGCTCTGTCACCCAGGCTGGAGTTGATGCCACCAGCTCTATCACAGCTCACTGCAGCCTGGAACTTCGGGCCCAAGCGATTCTCCCACTTCACCCTCCCAAGTAGCTGGGACTACAGGCGCACACCACCAGGCTTGGCTAATTTATGTAATTTTTTGTATTGTCTCACTGTGTTGCCCAGGCTGCTCTCAAATTCCTGGGCTCAAACGACCTCCCACCTCAGCCTCTCAAAGATCTGGGATTGGCTGGGCATGTTGGCTCACGCCTGTAATCCCAACACTTTGGGAGGCTAAGGCGGGCAGATTGCCTGAGCTCAGGAGTTCCAAGTCACCCTGGGCAACATGGTGAAACCCCATCTCTACTAAAAGACAAAAAAAATTGAGGGCCGGCACGGTGGCTCACGCCTATAATCCCAGCACTTTGGGAGGCTGAGGTGGGTGGACCACGAGGTCAGGAGATACAGACCATACTGGCTAACACGGTGAAACCTCCTCTCTACTAAAAATACAAAAAATTAGCTGGGCGTGGTGGCAGGCATCTGTAGTCTCAGCTACTCAAGAGGCTGAGGCAGGAGAATCGCTTGAACCCGGGAGGCGGAGGTTGCAGTGAGCCGAGATCGCACCACCGCACTCCAGCCTGGCGACAGAGCAAGACTCTGTCTCAAAAAAAGAGAGAGAGAAAAAAAAAAGATCTGGGATTACAGGCATCAGTCACCATACTGAGCCTCCATAGTGTTTTTATTCGTCACAATAAACATAAATAGATTTCGTACTTTCAAAAATGGATAAAGTTGTTTTTACTTAAAAAAGTAAAAACCAAACACCACAAAGCTTTCCTGTATTTGATAGGGTCTGCTTCTGGCATCTTGAATTTTTTTTATCTCAGTTGTGTTCCTCAGCTGCTAAATCAAAGATCAGCTTCCGGGCTGAGGACCCAAAAACAGGAAGTAAAGACTGAATTCACTTCGGGAGAATTAGATGATGTAATGGGTCGCTGGATACTAACCAAGCCGCTTCGTATAACACAAATCTCTTGCGATAGTTAAGGCTTCCTTAACTTCTTTAATTGGGAAAGTACCCTTTATTGAGGGCACCTGTTATAAGCCAGTTAATTTGTTTACATCATCCCATTTTATTCTCCAATCAACTCTCAAAAGGTAAGTATTATCCCCACTTATCGGATGTAGAAACCAGGGTTCTGGGAAGTTTAATGAATTGCCCAAGGTCGCAGAGCTCCTATGGTAAGAGGCAGAGACCTACTTTGAACATAGCTTTTCCAAACTTGTGCTCATTTCACCATCATTTGCTACCTCCTTTAAAAGAATAAGGTAGAATGGGGTTTGAGCCACAATCCTGAACACCATAGTTCCAGATATTGAAATCCAAAACATAAAAATTCCCAAAAATATAATTCTGGAAAAAATAATTCTAAAACTTTTTTAAAAGACATTTGCTTACATTTTAAAAGTGGATTTATTTGAGAAATGTATAAAGACATGACAAAATGCTTCATAGGCCACTGTGTGCGATAAAATAGGCAGTAATAATATACATTCTTTTGCAAACATAAACACTTAGGTATACTAAGGACAGTCACATGGGTATAACAGTTTTGAGCAGACAAAAAAGCTGCTCAAAACTTGAGCAGCTAAAGAAATAGCTGGTATTCAAGGGGAATGCCTTCAGCTTTTGCCTATTCAGTATGATGTTGGCTGTGGTTTGTCATAGACAGCTCTTATTATTTTGAGTTATGTTCCTTTAATATCTAGTTTACTGAGAGTTTTAAACATGAAGGGATGTGGAATTTTATTGCAAGCCTTTTTTGTATCTATTGAGATAATCGTGGTTTTTGCCTTTATTTCTATTTATGTGATGAATTACATTTATTAATTTGCATATGTTGAACCAATCTTGCATCCCTAAAGCCTACTTGATCATGGTGGATTAGCTTTTTTTTTTTTTTTTTTTTGAGTCAGTCTTGCTCTGTCACCCATGCTGGAGTGCAGTGTCATGATTTTGGCTAACTGCAACTTCTGTCCACCTCAGCCTCCCGAGAAGCTGGGACTAGAGGTTTGCACCACCATATCCAGTTAATCTTTGTAATTTTTTGTAGAAACAGAGTTTCACCATGTTGCCCAGGCTAGTCTCGAATTCCTGGGCTCAAGTGATCCGCCCTCCTCAGCCTCCCAAAGCACTGGGATTACAGGCATGAGCCACCGCGCCTGGCTGGATTAGCTTTTTGATGTGCTGCTGGATTTGGTTTGCAAGTATTTTGTTGAGAATTTTTGCTTCAATGTTCATCAATATTGGCCTGAAGTTTTCTTTTTTGTTGTATCTCTGCCAGGTTTTGGTATCAGGATGATGCTGGCCTCATAGAATAAGTTGTGGGGGAGACGCTTCTCCTCAATTTTTTGGAATGGTTTCGGTAGGAATTATATTGGCTCTTCTTTGTACATCTGGTAGAATTCGGCTGTGAATCCATCTGGTCCTGGGCTTTTTTTGGGTGGTAGGCTATTTATTACTGATTCAATTTTGGAGCTTGTTATGGATCTGTTCAGGGAATTAATTTCTTCCTGGTTCAGTCTTGGGAGGGTGTATGTTGTCCAGGAATGGATTCATTTCTTCTAGGTTTTCTAATATGTGTGCACAGAGGTGTTCATAGTAGTCTCTTTGATTATTTGTATTTCTGTGGGGTCAGTGGTAACATCCTCATTGTCATTTCTAGTTGTGTTTAATTGGATCTTCCTTCTTTTCTTCTTTACCAGTGTAGCTAGTGGCCTGTCTATCCTATTAATTTTTTCAAAAAACCAACTCCTGGATTCATTAATCTTTTGCATGGTTTTTTGTGTCTCAATCTCCTTTGGTTCAGCTCTGATTTTGGTTATTTCTTTTCCTGTGTCTTAATTACGGAGGTTATTACACAACTGTATACATTTGTTAAAACTCACTGAAATGTACATTGGTAAATTTTATTGTATGTAAATTATACTTTAATAAAGTTGATTTTTAAAACAAAAAACTAATATGCAATATATTTCACCTTTAAATTTTTTAAAAAAACAAATAGCTTATATAGCCAGGTCATCTGAAATACTACGATAGACAACCTAAGTCTTTTAATGAGATGGATCAAAAACAGCAGAAGAAAAGTCTGTGCCAACTCTCAGAGAGAGACTAATTTGCCTTCAGTATTTGTTCTTTTTGGGTCCCTGGCTAATTCAATGGTGTCCACCAACACTGATAGCAGATCTCCCCCACCTCGTCCATTCTGATACACGTACTAATCTACTCTGTAAACACCCTCACAGACACACCCAAAATAATGCTTTATCAGGTATCTAGACACGTCTTTTTTTTTTTTTTTTTTTGAGACAGAATTTTACTCTTTTGCCTAGACTGGAGCAAAGTAGCACAATCTCAATTCACTACAACCTCCACTTCCCAGGTTCAAGCGATTCTTCTGCCTCAGTCTCCAGAGTAGCTGGGATTAAGGCGCCTGCCACCACACCCAGCTAATTTTTGTATTTTTAGTAGAGGTGGGGTTTCACTAGGCTGGTCTCGAACTCCTGATCTCAGGTGATCTTCCCATGTTGGTCTCCCAAAGTGCTGGGATTACAGGTGTGAGCCACCATGTCCAGCTTTAGATACTCCTTAATCCAGTCAATTTGACACCTAAAATTAAGTCAACAAGTCCACTCCTCATCGATTTGGCACCCATACACATCTTAAACCACACGTAATTTCCAAATGAAGACAATAAGAAAGCAGTAGTTCTGCCTAACATGATGCAACTAACATAATGAGGCTATCCTGCATACAACAGAAAATTCACTAATCGTGATTTTTGAGATTTTAGACGTTAGGGACTTAGACTTTAGGGATTTTTATCTTTCAGGATTTCAGCATTTGAGACTATGACATTCAGAATCGTGTCTTTTGGGATTGACTGGTAGTGGGTATAATGACGTATTTTGCAACTGGTTCCAGAGCTGAATTAAAGTCTATTCTCAATGGCAGCTCAATTCTAGGCACCCGTGAAAGGCTTCTTACATCCAAAAGCACTTTCCTAACTATCTTTCCTTGGAGTCTGATAGACCACCAATGGAATTTGTTCCATTGGGTAAGGCATCAAATCCCCTGAGTTCCATTCTCCAAGCACAAGGATCCTTAGAAATAGGTAACACGTACCATCATTATAAATCACAAATACCATCATGTGAATTAGTTATCAGGGAAATACAGCTAGCAAGTTTCCAAGACAATGAGACACAGGCCCAGTAATACTTGATGGGGAGGTTGGGGAGGACGTGGAGAAGAGGTAGTTGTAGAGCAGAGTCAGCAATGTCCTTTGGGAGTGTCATTGTGGAACTGTTGATAATTAAAGGACATGGAGAAGCCAGAGGCAGAAAAAAAAAAAAAGGTGCCGCTAGGGGTATGCACCACAATCCAGGTCAGGCCCCAGCTCAATTACTATGCTAATATGGTCATGGATAGACACGGAGAAGAGAAAATTGTCACATATGTGTCCATGGATTTCTCTACGCATCTCAGCTACGAGTTCTGCCGATGCTGCCATTTGTCACAAGGGCAGTGGGGTACATGACCCAGTGTCTCAATGAGTGGAAGCCTGTCACCAAGCAGAAAACTCTGAAGGCATGTTTTCCCAGCAGTCTGCTCAGAGTGTTTATCCCACACTTAGGGCCAAGAGGCAGTTTTGGATATTTGGTTTGGAGGGTTGGAATTTGTTAAAAACTCAGTGGATCTTATCTAGTAGTAGATTTCTGGAGCAATCTGGACAAAAATATTGTCTTCTCTCTTACATGAATGGGATGTGCTTGTCTCCCCACAGAAGAAGCGCACGCTGAAGGGGTCCATTGAGCTGTCCCGAATCAAATGTGTCGAGATTGTGAAAAGTGACATCAGCATCCCATGCCACTATAAATACCCGTTTCAGGTAAGTCCATCGGGTGGGTAGTTCCCCATTTCCTGGACCGCGGTTAAAATCCTCAGTCACGTGCAGGTGCAGTGGCTCGCGCCTGTAATCCCAGCACTTTGGGAGGCCGAGGCAGGCAAATCACGAGGTCAGGAGTTCGAGACCAGCCTGGCCAACATGGTGAAACCCCGTCTCTACTAAAAACACAAAAAGTTAGCTGGGCGTCCTGGTGGGTGCCTGTTATCCCAGCTACTCGGGAGGCTGAGACAGGAGAATCATTTGAAGGAGGCAGTGGTTGCAGTGAGCTGAGATCGCGCCATTCACTCCAGCCTGGGTAACAGAGTGAGACTCCATCAGAAAAACAAAACAAAACAAAACAAAAGGCCTCAGTCACTGTGAGAGAGGGTGGACAGGGATGACTCTCTGCTCCAAGGTTAGAACTTAGACAAATCCCATTAGGAAACATATGTGTTCCTTCAATCAATGACATTTATTTGTTAATTCTTTCACTTACTGAACACACATTAAGCACAAAATCTTAAAAAGGTGGTTATTCCTCATACCCCTTTCCCTCATGTCTTCTCTTCCTCAAGGGAAGGCCTAATTAGTGAGGAAAGAAATAAAGCTGCTATCGGGGCCCCAAACCTAACGTGCTTTAAGTGCAGTTTACTCATGATTTGAAGCAACATATTGCAATTGCTGAGTATGAATTGCTTGGAGATTCTGAGGCACAAAGATTCAGATTTTATAATCTGAGGATTATCTGGAAATGCACTGTCTAGTACAGTAGCCACTAGCCACACAAGCATGTTCACATTTAAATGTATTAAATGATATTAAAAATTCTGCTTCTTAGTCACACTGGGCACATTTCACATGTTCAATAACTGGACATGGCTGGCAGCCGCTATACTGAAACAGCACTGGCTATAGAATGCTCCTATCACTGCGGAAAGTTCTTTTTTTTTTGAGACAGAGTCTCACTCTGTTGCCCAGACTGGAGTGCAGTGGCGCAATCCTGGCTCACTGTAACCTCTGCCTCCCCAGTTCAAGTGATTCTCCTGCCTCAGCCTCCTGAGTAGCTGGGACTATGGGCACGTGCCACCACGCCTGGCTAATTTTTGTATTTTTAGTAGAGGCGGGGTTTCACCATGTTGGTCAGACTGGTCTCAAACTCCGGATCTCATGATCGACCCGCCTCGGCCTCCCAAAATTCTACTGAACAGAGTTAGTGGAGGGTATCTTTAAAGTCCTTACCTTATGTATGAATCTTGGCACTTCTAGCTTCAAAGGCATGGATATCTCCTTGCACATTTCAGGGTACCATTCTTGCTTACCAACCTGAGGGATGAGTATATATTTAACGTGGCATAGAAAAGAACTTTTTTCCTACTGGAAAAGTGACCCTCATGAGTTGGAATTTTGAGGACTGAAAATAAAAGGAATAGCATGTTTTTTTCAGTTGTTCAAAGTCCCAATGATAATGAGTGCCTAAAAAAGTGGTGAAATATAAAGAAGACTGCAGTTTAGTTAAAGTATTATACCAATGACAGTCTCTTGGTTTTGAAAAATGTGCTGTGGTTATGTAAGATGTCATCAGTGGAGAAAAGTAGGTGAAAAGTACACAGGAACTCTGTACTATTTCTGGAACTTCTTGTGAATCTTAAACTATTTCAAAATAAGAAGTTTTCAAAACTCTCATTACACATTTGTCATATAATATCTTTTTCTTTCATGTGCCAGAAATATTTTTTTTAATCACTAAAAACTTAAGATGAGAAATAAATGTGCTTTCTAGTCAAGAGGAGAACTTTCTCCTGCTGTTTTAGTTAGCGATTGCTCTCTTGGGGCATGGAATCTGAGACAAGCAGCCGAAACTGCTTACCCTGTGTTTTCGTAGCACCCAAACATCTGGATGAAAAGGATACTGGCCCCCTAATTACCCAAATGTTTGCCTATGTGACGATAAACACCCGAGACCCCACTCTCAGCTCAGTAGGTCTGCTGTCAGTCAGCTATCTCCATGCACACTGCTCACCTTGGACTCTGTGTGTGTCTCCAGGTCATGCATGACAACTACCTCCTATATGTGTTTGCTCCAGATCGTGAGAGCCGGCAGCGCTGGGTGCTGGCCCTTAAAGAAGGTAATTAAACTCCTTTGCCATTGAATCACTGACACCCTTGATCCTATAGTAGGGTTGGGTTCCACAATAGAATAGACTGTGGTGTGAGAGCAGCTGATGGCTGGTTTCCCTTTTGGGGTTAGTGGAAGTTTCCACGGTTTCATTCCGGGCCCAGGAGGCAATAACTGGTATCATTCAGGGCTGACCAAATCCAGCCTGCTGTCTGTTCTTGTCAGGCTCTGAGCAATATTTGTATATAACTCATTTCAAATAGTTAAATAAGTACCTACATAAGACCCTTGATTTTGTCTCATGGTCGGTAAAACCTAAAATATTTACTGTCTGGCCTTTTAAGAACAAGTTTGCCAACTCCTCGTATAGTATGAAGAAGCAGAGCATAGGCCCTAGTGTGAAATGACCTGGGTTTAAATCCCAGTCTGTCACTTGCTATGTACACTTGGGCGAGTTCCTTAATTGCCTGTGCTTCAGTTTCCCATTTATTTAAAAGGGAGAAAAGGAAGGGATAACAGCACCTGCCTTTGGAGCTGATGTGAGCAAAGTCCTGGGAACTAGGTTGGCCCATAGACAGCACGCAATAAATATGAGCTAGCTTTCAAGCGTTTCAGACCATTGGTAAGGGTATTTCTTAAGCCTTACCTTCCTAACGGCACAGTTAGAGGCAGTAGTGTTTAAGCACATGGGATATGGAGCCAGGCATGAAAGTGAAAATCCCAGCTCTGCCAATGATTAGCATGTGACCCTGGGTAAATTCCTTGACCTTCGTGTGTCTCTATAAATTTGGACTAAAAACAGTCGTGGAGCTGTTGTGAGAACTGAATGATTGAGGACTTAGGACAATACCCATCCCAAAGAAAGCACTCGATCAATGTTACCATTATTGTTCTTTAGCCTGAAGCACTGGATGTGTCAGAAGATCTGGATTCAAACACTAATCTGCCTCTGTGAAACTATGAGGACTAAGGATAAGCAAACTATTTGTTATCTCTGAAGTTGCAATTCCTCTATCTGAAAAAAAAATGAGAATAGAAATACAAGGTGTATCTTATCCCAAGATTGTTGTGAGCCTCAAATGAGTTATGAGCAGACAAGTGCTGGGTAAATGGGAAAGGGCTCACAGTTCTAACAGTCATGGGACATAGAGCAAACACAAAAGTAAGAAGTAATCAAAATGGGCTGGCTGCAGTGGCTAACACCTGTAATCCCAGCACTTTGGGAGGCCAAGGTGGGAGGATCACTTGGACTCAGGAGTCCAATGCTACGATGAGCCATGCTCATGCCACTGCACTTCAGCCCGGGTAACATAGTGAGATCTCATCTCTACTAAAAATAAAAACATTAGCCAGGCATGGTGGCACAGGCCTGTGCTCTGAGCTACCCGGGAGGCTGAGGTGGGAGAATCATCTGAGCCTGGGAGGTCAAGGCTGCAGTGAGCCAAGTGAGCCGAGCCTGGGTAACCAGCAAGACCCTGGTCTTACCCCACCAAAAAAAGGAAGAAAAAAAAGTAATCAAAAGGGCCCCAGCTATGATCATTGGCTTTTTGCCCTCTGTGAAGGGATTTCATACACAGGATGTTAAAATTGGAAGGAACATTAGAGATTAGCTATCTAGTTCTGTGGTTTGTTTATTTATTTATTCAAGGAGACAATGTATTAGTCCATTTTCACACTGCCATAAAGATATGCCCAAGAGTGGGTAATGTATAATGAAAAGAGGTTTAATTGACTCACAGTTCTGTATGGCTGAGAGGCCTCAGGAAACTTACAATCATGGTGGAAGGTAAAGGGGAGGCAGTCACCTTATTCACAAGGTGGCAGGAGAGAGAATGACAGAAGGAGGAACTTGCCCAATGCTTATAAAACCATCAGGTCTCATGAGAACTCACTTACTATCACAAGAACAACATGGGGGAAAATATCCCCATGATCCAGTTACCACCACCTGGTCTCTCCCTCAACACGTAGGAATTATGGAGATTACAATTCAAGATGAGATTTGGGTGGGAACACAGAGCCAAACTATATCAGACAGGGTCTCACTCTGTTACCCATGCTGGAGTGCAGTGGCACGAGCATGGCTCATTGCAGCCTCGACCTATTGGGCTCAAGTGATCCTCCCACCTCAGCCTCCTGAGAAGCTGGGACTACAGGTGTGTGACACCGTGCCCAGCTAACTTTTTTCTTTTCTTTTTTTTTTTTTTGGTAGAGAAGGGGTCTCACTATATTGCCTAGGCTAATCTCCAACTTAAGAGATCCTCTTGCCTTGGCCTCCCAAAGAACTGGGATTACAAGCATAAGCCACTACACCCAACACTGTTCTGTGCCTTATGTATGTATTTGTTTCAGTAGCAGAGCCCCCCTTTTTCTCCAACCAAAATCTTACTTCAAAGCCACAAACCTACAAGGGAAAAAACCAAAGTTGCTGTGGTTAAAGGTAGGAGAGTTGGAGGGATGGTGATTCCACCTTCTCAACCTTCTCATTACCCTTAAAGGCACTTTTGTAGAGCCCAGTGTTTAACAATCTCATTGGCTCAGATGAGGGTTTGCCCAACCTAAGAACACACAACTAATGCAAGGCAGAGCCGGATGTGAGCCTAGATGTGCTGATGCCTAAATGTAACATGAACTACCCCAGTAAATAGCACAGTGCATTTATGTGCTCAGGTCAACCCATGCTTCTGAGTGGTCTGGACAATACTCATTCAGGCTCACTTAGCCAGGTCTAAACTCGAGATGGTATAAAATTGGTAGCCCTTGATAGACTGACCTGGAAATAACTCTTCTGTTGGTGCCAACCTATTTCAGAAACGAGGAATAATAACAGTCTGGTGCCTAAATATCATCCTAATTTCTGGATGGATGGGAAGTGGAGGTGCTGTTCTCAGCTGGAGAAGCTTGCAGCAGGCTGTGCCCAATATGATCCAACCAAGAACGGTAAGAGACTGGGAATTCCCTCTACTCTGTGAAATGACCATAGAAAGGTAAAAGCTTTTGGCCTTCAATCATTGAGGGTATCAGGAATGGAATGCAAAATTCTACATTTTCAGAATTTTCCAAGAGGAATCATCTGTGTTTTCTACCAGTCTGTTGGTGCTTCCATCTCAAAGCTGATGTCTTTATAGCTCCTGACCACTTAAAGTGTGTTCTTTGGACCAGCAGCATCAACATCTCCTAGGAGCTAGTTAGAAATGCAAATGATCTGGCCCCACTCATGACCTACTAGATCAGAATTTTCATTTTAACAAGATCCCAGGAGACGTATGTGCACAGTACAGTTTGAGGAACCCTGCTATAACCTGCATTTGAATGGCATGGTCTATTTAAGTCTTAAATTACAGAGGCAGCCTTAAGAGATATAAAATATTTATTTCTCACAGTGGCATCATATCACATATATATTTAATTATACAAATTCAACTCTATAGCCTTAAAGGTGAGAGGAACTTTTTTTTTCTTTTACTTTTTACTCTGTGGTTTCTCCTTGCCTCCTCTTCAAACTTGCCCTTAACCTCCACAATCTCGGAAAGGAGAAGGCCACAGTCTAAATGCAAAGTGAAAACAAAAAAAGCTATTTCTTTGTCTTTGACATTAAAGGCTCAGGTCCGGGGGACTGGGCTGCAACGGGATTTTAGTAATGACTTTCGAACCTTAACCTCCAGTTGTGTACAACTCCACTCGAATGCATTTCACATTCATTATGCTCTTGTTCCTCTCAACCATCTGGGGTAGATGGTGTCATGTTAAGGGAATGGGCTGCCTTGAGCAATTCAGTATGCTCCAGGTCACACTGCTGGAAGTGCTCTGCAAATTCCATTGTTGCATAGGAATGATGGACCGTGTGGATTGTTCTCCTTCCATGTTCCTCCCTTCTCAACCTCTTTTGCCATAGTTTCTCCTTCTCATTTATCATTTCCTTTTGTGCACTAAAACTTAATACTGAAAATTGGCAACCCAAGGCGGATGTAACACATGGCTCGGTTTTCTGTGGCTTCCTGATTCATAGCCCCTCTCATTACCACTTTAAAAACCACCACTTTTCACCCTGCGTCTTGGGGAAAAAAGCCCTCCAATGTAATCCATCCCTGGGCCCAGAAGAATAATACTTAATAAGTTTTAGAAATTGGTAAATATTCAAGTGATCCTCCACATTAGTCCTGTGACCATATTCATGTGGGCCAATATTTAATAAAAAAGAAATGGAAAATTTTCTATGGATGGGCTCCACCGTAATAACAGAATGGCATGGGCTTACCTCAGTGAGTGAAAGCCCTTTCCAAAGTCAGGGATCTGGTCTCCAAACTTCTGCGAATGCCTTGCTCTGGCCCTCAGATGAGTGACTTAGCCATCAAAGGGCCCCAGTGTCCTCATCTCAAAAATAGCAAGGAGTTCTGAGGGGCTTAGGATGAAATAATATCTAAGCCCCTTTCCAATTCTGAAATTCTTTGACTCAGTATTTCCATTCTGTAGTTTGCACCATGCATGCTGCAGCTATTCCTCTTTGGGGCGCACAGTATTTCCCTCCTCCAAGTGATACACATGTGACTGAGGTGCTAGGAACATCTGAATGACTCACCAGAACTCCAGTGCAGGAGGGCTGGTCATGCTGAGCTGCTCCCCATGTGAAACCAGGGCCTGAGCACTTTTGGGGTCCTGCTGTGGGTGTCGTGCAGTCACTCTGCTAATGGTTTTCCTTTTGCATTGTAACCCATTGCTGTCTCCCCCTTGAGCATCTCCTCACTCTACCTTCTTCTGATTTGGTTAAATAACTTCGTGGATCCGAGTTTTACACAGTTGAGACTAGAGTTTTCAAGAAACACACTGCACTGTGAATACAGCTCATGGTCACCTCCCTGGGTGAAGGCTCACAGGATTCCTGGTACCGAGCACATTGCCAGTGCAGGTCTATGAGCACTGGGCTTTGGATAACCCCTCTGAGCCTCTAAGTGCATTTCCTCACCTGCAAAATGGGGATAATGATAATAGGTAGCTACGTGTAAGGCTGGGAGATTCAATGGTGTTGTGGAAAGCAGTACAGCTGCCAACATATACAGAGTTCTCGATAAATGATAATTGTGTCTACTTGTCTTCCTTATTGGTGGTTGAAAGAATCTAAGGCCGAGATATAGCCTCAGAACTTGTGTGTGTTTGGGAAGCAGCAGACTCGGTTGAGTAAAAACAGACCCAGCCACACCCAACCCATAGTAACACCCATGTCTTCAACCAGAACTGGCCCTGATCTCTCCACATACCAACCCCACACAGATGGAAAGGAAGGAAGGGAAAAGCAAGGCCAGAGGAAGAAGAAAGAGACACCAGTCATAGAATATCCAGGGATGGAAGTGGCCAAGGTTCACAGCTAGTATTGGTGAAGCCAGAGTTAGAACACCAGTCTCCCAGCTCCAAGTTGAGTTCTAAATGGGAGCCATGCTTCCTATTATAGGGGTTTTCCTTCTTCTCTGGTCATCGCATACCCAGGTCACTACCCCAGCCTACTGTTTCTTGCCAAGTCTGCACGGGGCTGGACTCCAGTGTCAATGTGTGACTCTCCTCTACTGTATCCCTGATGTGGGCTGTCCAACTTCAAGTCAACCTCCTACAGAAATGAGGAACTCATCACCTACCTATGCAGCCCATTCTCTTCTCATCTCTCATTATTAAGGATGTCTTTGTATTAGCCTGAAGCCTGTGCAGTGCCTCCCGTACCACAGAGAGCCCCAGACACAGCCACACACCTTTGATTCATTGAGTCCAGGAATGGCCTTTGCAGAGCTACAAAGGAGAAATAGTGAGAGACGAGTATGAAGAAATGAGAGGAAGGAGAGAGGGCAAGAGAAAGAGAGAGAAGAGAAGAGAAAGGAGGAAAGAGAGAAGAGAGAGGAGAGCTAAACAGAGGGAGACATGGAAACAGAGATAAGCAGAAAGACAAAGACAGAGAGATGCTGGGTTGGTATAGTTTGAAAGAAGCAGAAATAACACATATTCAGATGCCTTAAGGCAACTAAAAGTGGATTCCAGCCCACTCAAAAAGCAGCACAATGACCTCCCACCTTAGCCACCCCCTCCTCAAGCTCACAACTGAGTCAGGAAGCTAGTGAGTCACTGTCCCCCTGAGTCACCAATTCCCACTCCTGAGTTTAGCAGGTGGCAGAGACATTCCCAGAAGTCTCTATGCCCACAGGGAAGGGTGCAAGTCTAACCCCACTCTCAGGCTTTTCCTGGGAATACAGAGAGACAGGGTCCCTGAATATGGACTTCTGGAAGCTTCTGGTGTCTACTAGAAAAGAGAATCCAAAACCAGCAGGCCCAAGGAGATAAAAGACAGCTTCTGACAAAGCCAAGTCGGGTTTCACTGTGTCTTATTGCTCCTTCTGGCCCCCTTTCTTCTGTTGTTTTCCCTGGGCCCTTTTTCTCAGAAAAGCCCCCTGGCTGCTCACTTCCGGTTGGGTCCATTGGTTTTCATGCTCATTTTTTCTTTTCCTGTTTTTCTCTTTTCAGCTTCAAAGAAGCCTCTTCCTCCTACTCCTGAAGACAACAGGGTGAGTGAGAGCCGTAGCTCTGGGTGCAGGTCGGCCCACAAGCTACCTGATTGGCATGTTCCTATTTCATGTTCCCCTCTGCCCATATTTTTCAAACCCTGGATGCATGCAGCAGGCTGTCACGATTCAGCGAAACTCAACACATTGGGTATTTTTGGGCTTCAACTGACTTGGGGGTCTGTCCCCTTAAAGAACCATTCAGCTGCTAAATATCCATGTCACTTTATTTATTCAACAAATACTGATATCAAACTGGGTGGCCATTCACCTGACCACTTTGGAGTATAGTAGCAGCGCACTCTCTATAAAAGTGTGGCTGGCATGGTGGCTCACATTTGTAATCCCAGCATTTTGGGAGGCCAAAGTGGGAGGATTGCTTGAGCGCAGGAGTTCGAGACCAGCCTGGACAACAAAGTGAGACCCCCATCTCTAGAAAAAAATTTTAAAAATTAGCTGGTGTGGTGGTGCACGCCTGTGGTCCCAGCTACTCAGCAGGCTGAGGTAGGAGGATCACTTGCGCCCAGGAGGTCGAGACTGCAGTGAGCCATGACTGTGTGCCACTGCACTTCAACCCGCGTGATAGAGCAAGACCCTGTCTCCAGAAAAAAAAAAAAAAGGGTGCATACTCACTCTATGCAAGCATTTTGGAGACATACATTTGTTGGTATTTTATATTTTTCAAAGCACTTCAACCCCTTTATTATCTATTTTAAAACTTACTGTCTGTTCTATCCACTTCAGAGGGTTTTAGTTTTATTCTCATTGTAAAGCTTGGGAAATCAAATCCCAAGGGAGGTCTTAAGGCTTTTCCAAGGCCATTTAGCAGCTTAGTAGGATGCAAGGTTTCTGGCGTGGTGGTCTTTAACTCGAGTGGTGGTTCTCAAAGTATAGCCCATGGACCAGAAGCATCTGTATCACCTGGGAGCATGTTAGAAATACAAATTCTTAGACCCCACCCCCAGACCTGCTGTGTCCAAAACGCTGGGGGAGGAGCCCAGGAATCTGCATTTTAATAAACCTCCTCACTGATCTATAATACACTGACTTACAAGTCTTAGATACCACAGTACCTACTCTAGGGCAGCTTATTTGGTTAAGGAGATGAAAAAAAAAAAAAAAGAGAGAGATGGGAGAAAGGATCATGACCTTTAGGTAAGGGATATGGCCCTGACCTTATGATAATATTAACACCAATATCCACTTTTTTTTTTTTTGAGATGGAATCCTGCTCTTATCACCCAGGCTGGAGTGCAATGGCACAGTCTCGGCTCACTGCAACCTCCACCTCCCAGGTTCAAACAATTCTCCTGCCTCAGCCTCCTGAGTAGCTGGGATTACAGGCGCTCACCATCACGCCCAGCTAATTTTTGTATTTTTAATAGAGACGGAGTTTTAGCATTGTTGGCCAGGCAGGTCTTGAGCTCCTGACCTCAGGCGATCAACCCACCTCGACCTCGCAAAGTGCTGAAATTACAGGCGTGAGCCACTGTGCCCGACCAATACCCACATTTGAGTACTTGCTCTTCATTCCAGAGCAAATTCTTTAACCAGAGTTTACTGATTCCGTTTCCTCATGCTTCTTCCTGAAGAATGAGCTCTGTCTTTTTTCCCTTCAGCCAACATGGTGACATTTCAAAACTGGCAGCGTCCCCATAAAGGAAGCTCTAAATCCTCAAAGCTCCAGCCTGGTGTTTAGATCTGTCATCAGCCTACTCCCTCACAACAGAAAAGAAACTGAAACTGTAGCAGAGAATGAGCTCTCTCTCCTTTTCTTTCACTGACCTTCTGAAGACTATTTCACCATCCCCCTTGAAGGCCTGATTCGGAATCCTACTGCCCTCCCTTGCAGATGGTTCCCTCAACAGTCCCGCCTAAACCCACACCTCTCATCTTAAGCCAGGCTGCTCTTGTGTCTTTGTTTTTGGTATCAATGAAGGTGAAAGCCAGAATACACTGCTGATCCTTCTCTCCCTGCACTCTGCCATTTGGCTTTTCAGCCTTCTTGGAGGAGTATCGTGGATACTGTTTTGAGTGTTCTGACCACAAGGGTTTTGGAATCATTGTTCTAGTTTCAACTGCATGTCTAAATCCGATGCAACGATTCTCTTATCTGAGCCACTTGGAGTCATTTCTCTCCTCACCTTCTCGTTCTGCTCCCTGAGTGGTAATGACATCTCAGATTGTCATACAGAGAAACTATGTTTTTAATCTAGTCTGAGCCAACAGGTCTCATGCTCTATGTGAAAAACGCTGTGAGCAGGGCCAGTCCTCCGGGGTCGGGGGATGGCTATTTTGTTCAAGATGGAGAATATCCATGGTCAGAGTGAAGGACAATCCCAGGCCTCTCTTGCCTATGGATACAAACAGGTCGTATTTCACATTGAAGTCCAAATTCCAATTCCTCTTGGCCCCCTGCATCCATGGGAACTCAACTCTTCCTCTTACAGTCCCTCCCAGTCAACCCAGGGCTTGCTGAGGGGCCACTAGAATGTGTCTGCATGTGTCCTTTTTCGCTGGCTGCCTACTAAGGCACCCTATCCCTGCCACTGCTACCTGGACTCCCTGTGAGGGCCCCTCAGCCCAGTGGAGCTCTTCCCACCTGGGACCAGCAGAGGTCCTGGGGGGTCAGGTTATGCTGAGGCCTGTAGCAGAGTGGCCAGGAGACAGGATCCTCATTCCCTTCGTGCCTCACCACATCATGGAGGCTCCCAAACAACCCTTCCTGAGCCCACAGACTCAGTTTCTCCAAATGCCATCCCTTGATTTTCTCACTCAGATAATGGTTCCCAACCTTATCAGACTCAATACTGCCTTTTAATGATGGATATTTTGTAAGGCTCCTTTTGTTATCCTGAAAAGAAATTCATAAATAATATACCATATGAATACATATTTTTTTTAATTAAAGTACTTAATTAATTTTTGTTGTTGTTGTTTTGAGACAGGGCCTCACTCTGTTGCCCATGCTGGAGTGCAGTGGTGCAATCATAGCTCACTGCACCTTCTGTCTCTTGGGTCCAAGCCATCCTCCCTCCTCAGACTCCACAGCTGCTGGGGCTACAGGCATGTGCCACCACACCTGGCTAACTTTTGTATTACACATACTTTTTTAAAAAAAATCAATAAATGTTCTAACTGTAATACTTAGAAGGAAGGAAAAATAATATATATAACAAAATTTCCATTTCAAAAATAAATAAAAATTAAAAAAATAAAATAAAGTATGTGTTTCTGTATAAATATTGGGGCATGACTGCACTGGAAGACAGAATGGAATAGTCATTTTCTTGCACGTGTAGGTAGGATCCCGTTGGATTTGACATCTCAAATGCAACTGATAAAAATTGTGGCATTGGGACTCAACTACAGCGTTACCCCTGTGATATAATTTTCCAAAATGATGAACAACTCTTGGTAAACTTCTGAACCAAAGTATAGTCTTCCCTCAAAGTACAAGGTAGTTGCATTCTTGGGAAATCCAGTACTTTGGATAGGGTACGGATAGGATCTAGGCTCAGGATGTTCTTATATAATTATTGTATAAGCTGGTTTCTCATCACGTGAATGTTTACAAGGATATTCAAAAGTTGTGTGGAATGTGGGACTCTACAGAGCATTTTGCATTCTTGACCATCACCCATTAAAGGCCTATAGCATACCTCAAACTTTGTGATATTCAAAATAATCCCCATATTCCAAGCTTGCATGATTGTTAGAAAAAAAAAATACATGTCCAGTGTGCCTCCTGCAGAAAGGTACCATCATAATTTGAGGACCGTGCTCTGATCTTTCTCTTCACAGATATTAACCAATGAGTTGACCTACAGTGGGATGAATGCCATAGCTCTCCTTCATCTTCTTCAAGCATCCTTGAACACTATTCCTCCCTCCATGAGCTCTTAGAGCAAAAGCCTCAGGACATCCACTCTTTTCTGTAGCATCCCATTTACACATCCTCACAAGCTCCACAAATATCTAGATTTCAAATTCCAATCTGCAGCCGGGCACAGTGGCTCATGCCTGTACTCCCAGGACTTTGGGAGGCCAAGGCAGGAGGGTCACTTGAGCCCAGGAGTTTGAGACCAGCCTGGGCAACATAGTGAGATCTTGTCTCTATTTAAAAAAAAAAAAATCCGATCTGGGCTCAGTTGAGATAACATACTACATCAGTATGATGAGACTTTTTTTTCAGCTCCAGTATTTTTATGCCACCAAATGCTTCAATGTACTCAGAGAACTTGTGACTTCCTAACACTAAATCACATTCTAGTGAGGAACTCAATCTTTCCGCACATTTACTCTCACAAAGTCTGCTAACCCATAGTAGGCATGCCCATCCTGAACTCTGGCAACTGTGTGCTTTGTGGTCTTTTCTTCATGTCCTCAATATGTAATCCTAAGAAAGGGACTGAGGAATAGAGACATCAGCAATAGAGCCCATTGGAGAAGGAAGGGAGACAGGTGCTAGAGTAGAGAGAGTCTTAGGGCTAATTCAAGTGGTAGATTGGCCAGGTCCATTTCTCTTATCTGGGCCTCAGTTTCCTCATCCTAAATGAAAAAGTGTATTAAATGATCTGTTAGAGGAATTCCAGCTCCAATAACCTATGATTCTGTAGATCTGGATAAACCCACAAATCATATCAATAAAGCACAAACTGAAAGATTTCATGTTGACTGTATCTCCTTTGCCAAGGGCATGATGCATCCGGCAGAGAGGCTGCCGCATATAACATAGTGCGGATAAAGAAACCAGCAGACTTTTGTGAAAATCATGTGGCTGCTTGGAATTCACTGTGGTCAGAATTTACCTCATAGAATGAGCAATGTGATTAATTCCAAGCACTGATGTCTTTTTGCCATGTTCAGTGCCGTAACTCTAACTCATAAAGAAAGTCAACCAGAGGAAGGCAGATTGTCTCCCCAGACACCCCGATGAAAGGAGGCATTTTCCCTCCTTTTTTATGTCTTTGCTTGGTTTTGTTGTCTCTCTTCCCCAGCGACCACTTTGGGAACCTGAAGAAACTGTGGTCATTGCCTTGTATGACTACCAAACCAATGATCCTCAGGAACTCGCACTGCGGCGCAACGAAGAGTACTGCCTGCTGGACAGTTCTGAGATTCACTGGTGGAGAGTCCAGGACAGGAATGGGTAAGGCATCTTCGTGGCTGCTGTCCCTCTGTTTGAGGTGTGGTGCGAACAAATAAAATACCAGGATGATTTGTCCTATCTCCCGCAGCGTGACCGCAGCACTGAGGTGGGAGAGGAGAGCAGAGGCAGGAGGAAGAGGGAGGAAGAGGAAGTAGTTGAGGCTCGTTTTTCCTCTTCTCAAGAAGTAACTCTGAGGCAGTCACTTGCTATGCTTGCTCCCTGCACCCCATCTCACGCATTCCAGACCCAAACTCATCTCAAAAAAAACCCTGGATTTTTCCACTGACATCTACAATTTGGGAGCTTGACATTGTATTCTGTAAAGTGTTATTGTTCTTGAGTGTTAAGTGAGGCTGAAGGTACATCCCATTAGAAAGCACTTATTTTTGGTGGAAAGAAAAGGTGTGTGTAGAGATGGTACAGATTGATAATTATGTTAGGATGCATCAGAAAGAAGATACTAAAGATTTAGTTACAATCGCAGTCATTGAACTAGCCATCCACTTGACTCAGGGAGAAAATAAGATTGTACAAATACCACTTTCCCACTATGCAACTTTTGAATGAAAAAAATACCGAGCATGAGATTCACACTGCCTTTTAAGGTTTTTTTTTTTTCTCTTAATATAGCAGATGTATAAACCCATGCTCTGGAATATTTTCCAGAATATGAGTTCAATGGTTGCATCAATCCAGCCATAAATGTACTCTAAATTAGCAAATTCCCTTGTTGAACACTTACGTGATTTCCAATATTTTGCAAATATTAACAACACTGCAACGAACATCTTTGTATCTTAATATTAAGGGTTTAAATGTTTTCAAAGTATGAGGTTATTATTAATTTTAAAATATAAAAAAGAAAACTGTCATTGCAACATATGGATCATTTATGTCAACATTTTACTTAACTAACAGTAGAGAGAAATAGACATAAAAAATAAGCCACCCTCCATTTGCCCCCGCATCAAGTCCAAAAGTAATCACTATTCGGCTGGGCACGGTGGCTCACGCCTCTAATCCCAGCAGTTTGGGAGGCCAAGGCGAGTGGATCACTTGAGGCCAGGAGTTTGAGACCAGCCTGGCCAATGTGGTAAAACCCTGTCTCTACTAAAAACACAAAAATTAGCCAGGTGTGGTGGTGCACGCCTGTAATCCCAGCTACTCCACTGGCTGAAGCATGGAAATCACTTGAACCCAAGAGGGAGAGGTTGCAGTGGGTCGAGATGGTGCCACTTCACTCCAGCCTGAGTGACAGAGCAAGACTCTGTCTCAAAAAAAAAAAAAAAAAAGATCACTATTAATACCTTCTTGTGTATCATAAACAAAAGTTATACCTATGCAAATGCATCCTTTTTTCGCTTGTACCAAGTTGATCCATTCTGTTCTGCATCTTGCTTTTAATTTTTAATGATATTAATACACACTGAAGATCTTTTCATACCAGTACATGCAAATCTACCTCATTTTTTAAATAGTTGCATAGGCCGGGTGCAGTGGCTCACGCCTGTAATCCCAACACTTTGGGAGGCCAAGGCAGGCTGATTACCTGACGTCAGGAGTTCGAGACCAACCTGGCCAACACGGTGAAACCCCATCTCTACTAAAAATACAAAAAATTAGCTGGGTGTGGTGGCAGGAGCCTGTGATTCCAGCTACTCGGGAGGGTGAGGCAGGAGAATTGCTTGAACCTGGGAGGTGGAGGTTGCAGTGAGCCAAGATCGCACCACTGCACTCCAGCCTGGGCAACAGAGCAAGAATCCATCTCAAAAAAAAATAATAATAATTGCACAATATTAGAATGTATGATTATATTATAAGTGTTTAAATAACCCTCTATGGTGGGACATTTAGTTGCCAGTTTATTTGTTTCCTCTGCTGTTTCAAACAAGGCTTTAATGAAGATCTTGTATTCATGTATCTTGGCCATCTTTGGAAAAAAATATATATATATATATAAAAAGCATTACTTTTTCTTTTCTTTTCTTTTTTTTTTTTTTTTTTTTTGAGACAGGGTCTTGCTCTATCAACCAGGTTGGAGTGCAGTGGCACTCTCACAGTTCACTGCAGCCTTGACCTCTCAGGCTCCAGTGATCCTCCCACCTCAGACCCCTGCGTGGTTGAGACTGTAGGCACACACCACCATGCCCAGATAATTTTTAAATTTTTTGTAGAAGTGGGGTCTCATTGTGTTGCCTGGGCTTGTCTCAAACCACTGTATTCAAGCAATTCTCCTTCTTTGGTCTCCCAAAGTAGTTGGGATTACAGGCATGAGCCACCAGGCCTGGCCTATATGTCACATTTCTAACTGTGCAACAGTTGAGTCAGAGTATGTGATATCTTAATTTTGCCATGTAATTTCCTCACAAAGCTTGCCAAATTTACATTCCTGCTAACGGAGTTATGGAAGTGCCAAGACTGGGTATCATTGAACTTTTTTAAAAAAGCCAATCTGATGGGTTAAAAAAAACAAAAGAGGGACACAAATATCTTTAAGGATAAGGCTTTACCTTTTACATACACCAAGGTGCTTCCTCTTTAGGTAGGCTTATCAACCCCATTGCAGGGGGAGAAAAGACAGAAGTGAGATAGGGTAAAAGGTGACGAGATTCAGAACAATGGTTTGAGAGGCAGTGTAGTTTGCTAGCTAAGAACAGACTCCAACTCCCCTCACCTGGAACCTCCCTCTTTAGTTGATTCATGAAGACAATTAAGGCTGGTCACATCACCTTCTCTTTGTCCATTATAGAGAGGCCCATATCTGAAATAGGTTCAAGGCTGTCTACAGGGTTTACAAACACCAAACGGACTTAGAAATTCATTAGTTCAATCAACTGACCATATTTAGCACACCTAATGTACCAGGAAATTTCTTCTAGGTCTTACTTCCCCAAATGATAGTTAAACCCTTCATTTGGTGAGCTGTGGAAAGGCTTAACGATGCACTTCAAAGGGCATCAAAGAGGACACCCCAGCAGCCAGTCAGCATTATGGAATTTCCCCAGTTTGCTTTGTGATAGTGTGGTATAGTGGAAAGTACACAAGATGGGGAGACAGAGGACTCGGACTTTATCAGCTACTCTTGTCATATGTAGCTGAGGATTCACAGATGACCATGTCATATGTGTGACCATGTCATTCACAGATGACCAAGTCACTTTTCCGCTGTGAATCCATTTCCTGAACTGTAAAATGCAGATGATAATGTCAGCTTTGTCTATATCACAGTGTTGAGAAAATCAACGAGATGATGGAAGTGAAAGAGCTTTGGGAAGTCTACATATCCACATACAAGTATGAGAGTTATCATTTGTGTAGATGGCCCAGCTTTGGGTGGCATATTCTATTGAAAAGCAAAATATTACTTGATCCATTAATATAATGCGAAAAGTATAGTATGGCAACACCAGATGTAGTTAAGGGGATTACAAGAGTGATACAGAAGGGATGGCAAATTTCAGAATAAGCTAACTTTCTTCAGTCGGAATGACTGCCTTGAGCACTGTGCGAAGGATGATTCTGAGGGCAGATGTCCAATTCTGCAAAGAAACTATGCCGTGATTGCTTAGCAACGTCTGCCAGAGGAGTGAAATATAAGATAATCATCCTGTATTTGGCATCGCCGGTCTTGATTTCTTCACTCTTCACACCTCTGTGCACCGATTACACATTTCCCATAAACAGAATCACTAGATTGAAAATTGGCCTTATTACAAGAAAATTAGAACATGTTATGGAATAAAGAGCAATAAACTATCAGGCATCTTTTTTTGTTTTGTTTTGTTTTGTTTGTCTTTTTGAGACAGAGTCTTGCTCTGTGACCCAGGCCAGGGTGCAGTGGCATGATCTCAGCTCATGGCAACCTTCATACCACTGCCCCCACCCGCCACCACCCAGGTTAAATGAGTCTCATGCCTCAGCCTCCCAAGCAGCTGAGACTACAGGTGCATGCCACCACACCCGGCTAATTTTTCTATATTTTCTAGAGACAGCGTTTCACCATGTTGCCCAGGTTGGTCTCAAACTCCTGAGCTCAAGTGATCCACCCCCCTCAGCCTCCCAGAGTACTAGGATTACAGGCGTGAGCCACTGCGCCCAGCCTATCAGTCATCTTTTTACATTGGCATAGTATGGAGTATCTACTTAAACTAGATTTTAAGTATAATCTAATTTAAGCCCTTCATTTGACACATATAAAGTCAGAGATCCAGAGAGCAGAAGGGATGCCATTTTCACCTTGTGGTATTAAATGAGATAACGAATGTGAAAGTGCTTTGAAAACTACAAAGTTATACATAAATGTAAAGAAGTTTGATATTCTTATTTTGTTTATTATGTTTTTTGTTTATGCACAATTATTAATTCTTGCTCAAAAGAGACTCCCGATCCCCAAATCTAGCCTGGCTTTATCCTTTTTTCTTGTGTTTATACCATTCATATCTGAAGAAGCTCAATTAGGGAGGCCTTAAATTAAAAAGCTTACAATGCCAACTGGTAGTGTCTTTTAGAATCTGTGGTTGGAAAGTCATCTTTTATATTTTAATTATTTTGGCTTCCTGACTATAAAATGATAGTACTAAGGTGGAAAAAAATGTTGATTATCACACAAAAATGTTTCCTTATAGAAAATAGAGAATGAATATTAATCTTTTTTTCCAGTAGAGGAAATTTCACAATGAGGAGAGCAGCAAACAGAACTTTTTAAGTAAAATCGCCACTTCTTTTCTATTATGTTTTATATTTTAGTAGTGAAATCAACCTGCCTTTAACAGACAGCAAGTTGCTGTTAGTTTTACCAGTTCCTTTTTTTTTTTTTGAGATAGAGTCTTGCTCTGTTGCCCAGGCTGGAGTGCAGTGGCATGATCTCAGCTTACTGCAACCTCCGCCTCCTGGGTTCAAGCTATTCTTCTGCCTCAGCCTCCCGAATAGCTGTGGCTACAGGCATGCACCACCATGCCCGGCTAATTTTTTTTTTTTTTTTTTTTTTGTAGTTTTAGTAGAGACAGGGTTTCACCATATTGGCCAGACTGGTCTCGAACTCCTGACCCTGTGATCCACTTGCCTCAGCCTCCAGAAGTGCTGGGATTACAGGCGTGAGCCACCGCCTCTGGCCTACCAATTCTTTTATTCTAAATTTTAAAATGTCTTATCGCAAATGCCAAATAATATGATATTTCCCAATCTTTAAGTGACTTTTAATGGATTAAACCTATAAAACGATGTAAAACTTAGTTCTATGTAGGTCTAAACACTAATTTTCCTTTTAACAGGCATGAAGGATATGTACCAAGCAGTTATCTGGTGGAAAAATCTCCAAATAATCTGGAAACCTATGAGTAAGATATTTTATTTGTTTTTGGAAAATACAGTCCTAAGGAATCCTCCCTAGGTTAGGAATAAATTATTGGTTGACTGTAAAAATACCAGATGATCTCTATTGCAATAGTAATGTTCACACATACCACCCAGCTCTTAATTCTGAAATAACACTTTCCACTAAAAAGAACCAGGACTTTCTGAAGAAAAGTCTTGGGGTAGGGATAGAACAAAAAAGAACTTAGAACATCTTTTTGTGCCAGAAAGTAAAGAAGTACTTAAAAATAAGTTTTTAATTGTTATTTTTACTTTTTGAGACAGGGTCTTGCTGTCGCCCAGGCTGGAGTGCAGTAGTGTGATCTCGGCCCATTGCAACCTCAACCTACCGGGCTCAAGCACTCCTCAGCCTCCCGAGTAGCTGGGACTATAGGCACATGCCACCTTGTCCAGCTAATCTGTAAATTTTTTGTAGAGACAGAATCTCGCTAGGTTGTCCAGGCTGGTCCTGAACTTTTGGGCTCTAGTGATGCTCCCGCCCTGGCCTCCCAAACTACTGGGATCACAGGTGTGAACTGCTGTGCCCAGCCAAAAAGATGTGGGCATGTCAAATGAGCACAGAAGTTGGCTTTAACGGGCTGCATTTGATGAAATCTGGGACAATTTGAGTATCAAAATAAATAATGAGTATTAAAATAAGTAATAGACTAGAAACCATTGAATAATATAAGAATCTGTAATAAATAGGCTGATAGATAAATAAAGAAGTAAATAAATAAAAAGGAAAGGGTTTTTTCTTATAGCAGAATGCCAACTAATGAATGATAAAGTTTAAAAATCATCATTTTGTAACCCAGAGTATCAACTGATTCAGGCAAGAATCCTCGATGAAGGTCACCACTAGCAGATTAAAGTTTGATGAGCTATGGGATATTTACATAGTCTCAAAGTATTTCCTCACAAATCACTTGTAATTACAAAGTGGAGGTAACTAGTAGGCCCATCTTAAACAATCAATCCAAATGCACATAAATAATGGAGCAAAAAGCTATCTTGTGTCTTCTTATGTGATGCACTGAGAAGGGCACACATCACTTCTGTGATATTCCTGCTCAAAGAATGCACAACATGAATTTACTTATGAGGATATATTCATAAGGATATATTAGACAAATCCAAATTAGGGAATGTTCTCTAAAATTAATGTCTTGTGCTCTTCAAAAAAAAAAAAAATCATTAATATCATGAAAGACACAACAGGCTGAGAAACTGGTCCACATTAAAAAAGACAAAAGAGGCCAGGCGCAGTGGCCCACGCCTGTAATCCCAACACTTTGGGAGGCCGAGACAAGTGGATCACCTGAGGTCAGGAATGAGACCAGCCTGATCAACATGGTGAAACTAAAAATATTCTACTAAATGTAATACCAGTTTGAAAGTTTAGCAAATATCTCTACTAAAAATACAAAATTAGCCAGGCATGGTGGCGCATGCCTGTAATCCCATATACTCGGGAGGCTGAGGCAGGAGAATCGCTTGAACCCAGGAGGCGGAGGTTTCTGTGAGTCAAGATTGCGCCATTGCACTCCAGCCTGGGCAACAAGAGCAAAACTCCATCTAAAAAAAGAGAGAGAGAGAGAAAAAAAAAGACTAAAGAGACATGGTAACTAAATACAGTGGTGATCCTGGGCTGGATCTTGAACCATACAAAAAATATTTTTTGTTATAATATACGTTATTGGGACAACCCATAAGATTTGAATAAGATCTGCAGTTAAGTACTAGTATTATGTAGATCTTAAATCTCATGATTTTGGTAATTGTACTATGGTTAGATAAGGGTATACTCTGTGTCTTAGGAAATAGACACGGAAGTACTTAGGAGTAAAAGTCAATTCTCAAATAGTTCAGAAGAAAAGTCAATCTATGTCTAAAGGGAATAGTAAAGCAAATGTATAAAATATCAACAATTGGCTCACCTGGGTGATGTGTAGATGAGGGTTCTTTTACACTATTTTACAGCTTTTCCGTAAGTTTGAAATTATTTTAAAATTTTAAAAAATTAATTACTCACTAAATATAAGATACCAGGCCTAAAGAATAATGCTAATGAGGACACCTATTAACACAATAGGGTTCTTAATTCAAATGTGGTCGAGTTATTTGTTGCTGAAATTCTAGCAGATTCTTTAGTGAAGAACCATCATTTTCTGTAGTCTCTCAACCTGGTTTGTTTTGGTCAAGTATGTGTGAGTAGCCCTTCCCTCAGTGAACAGAAGAGTCGTCAGTTCTAAGAATTTTTGAGCTGACATAAAACATATAGGATATATGCTTAAATAAAATAACAAAATTATAGGCAATACCTTTGAAGAAAAAACAATAAGCATTATTTCAAATGACCACTAAACTGTGTAGTTTTGTTTGTTCATCTTTGCTTTTAATCAGAATCTCTTTGCTTATGATCAAAGGAGCAAACTCAAAATTCCAACAGGATAAGCAATAGGAAATGGTGATGCCTGGAGCAAATAAAAAAAGTCTATTCACCCACCTAAAAGTATTTTAAGCCATTTCAAAAATAAAACACTATACCATGCAAACAAAACAATCTAGTTATACTGTGCACTTTCAGTTTGCATTCTCCAGATTATGAATCTCAGCTGGAAAATAACATGACTTACAAGCAAACATGCAGATATTTAGTATATAATTGGATATATGAAAGATTCCAGTATGATAACTTTTTATTCGTGAACTTAGCGTTGTCTAGTTTCAGGTGAGATCTGCTTAAGTACTTAAATATGTACCACCTGATTACATAGTCATGGGTTGGTAAATTTAATGGATTCAGGTCTCCTGCCTTGGTTTGCAGTCATGACCTTGGGCAAGTTACCTCATCCTATTTGAGTTCTGATCCCTTCTCCATAAAACGAAGGCTCAGACAAGATGAAGGAAAGCAAATCATGACTCTCTTGCTGGCATTCCCTTCCCGTGCACTGAGGTCAGGTAGATACCACCCTTTGATAGTGAAACTATTTACCCACCATGCTGGTGACAACCTTTTCAATGCACAGCTCTAGGCAGCCACTACTATTGCTGGGAGCTTGTGTATGAGACGAAGCCTATATTTTCCCAATCCTCAATTAGATAATCTCTAAGAGCCCATGTTCGTGTAATGTATGTACTATTCTGTCTTATAATGTTCAAAAACCTCTAATGAATCCATGAATTCCTTTAATCATGGCTACTCTCAAATAGCCAAACAAGTTTGTTAAGTGGTATTTCTTCCCTACCCAGACCTTCTTTCCTCCTGGATTTATTAATTTTCAAAACTGATTATTAACCGAGGATCAGTCTGCCTCCTTTTACCTAAAAAGCAGCCAGAGAGGTTAGGATGTTGGCTCAAATATTGTTAACAACATAAAAAAAAAAAAAACCTTCATCCCTAAAAATCATTTATATTCTTCTTTACCATTTTATAGTTGTTTTTCACCAGACAACAAAATTATAAAAAGAATGCAATTACTTGGCAGAATGTCTGGAAGACCAGTCTTAAAGAGGAAAATACTACAGTTGTTTTAAAAGGATATTTGCTAAACTTTCAAACTGGTATTACATTTTTATAGCTGCACTAGCACCCTCCTCCTTACAACCAACTGCCTACTGACTTATGAAATGAAGAGGAAAATTAATGTTTTCTACAACTTTATTTTAGAAAATTTCCAACATATGCAAAAGTAGAGAGAATAATATAATGAATATCCATGTTCCCCAAACCCAGCATCAACAGTGATCGATATTTTGCCAATTCTGTTTCATGTGTTTCTTTCCAATTGAACATTTTAATACCTGGAAATGAATCACGCATTTGCTTTTGAGTTTAAAGGCACTGGTAGAAACATATGTGTGCAGGCTTGTTAAATAAGTTAAATAAGTAAAATATACTTAAAATTTTGTTTAAAAATTTGTTTAAAGCACTGTCAGAAATAGAAAATGACCATATAATTTTCTAGCATTGTCTTTTATAACTAATGACACTTTAAAATATGTCATTGACATGACTTTTACTTGCTTTCAGGTGGTACAATAAGAGTATCAGCCGAGACAAAGCTGAAAAACTTCTTTGGGACACAGTAAGTCTCCTTAACCTGTCTTTTGACATAAAACAAAATGAATTAAGCGCAGTGTCTCATGCCTGGAATCCCAGCAATTTGTCAGGTCAAGGTGGGAGGATCACTTGAGCCCAGGAATTCAAGGTTACAGTGAGCTGTGATTGTACCACTGTACTTCAGCCTGGGCAAGATCAAGAACCTGTCAAAAGAAGGGAGGAAGGGAGGAAGGAAGGAAGGGAGGGAGAGAGGGAAGGAGGGAGGGAGGGAGGGAGGGGAAGAAAGGGAAAAAGGAAAGAAAGAATTGTATTGTTTTTTTCAGCCTTGCTGTGTTTTATGCCCATGCAGTGGATTGATAGGTTGGATTAACAATAGTTTTCGTGTCTGGTGAAAATATTCTGGGAATTTACAGGACTAGCAAACCACAGGATGAGAAACCTGGGCTTGGCATTGGCATGCAGACATCACCACAGCTGCAGCAGTCTTTATGAGTGGTGATGGCTGGCCATGGAGTGCCATCAGGGCTGGTCTGCCATGCCTTCTTCTCGGTGTAGGTCAGAGGTGCTTGTGACTCTGATTCAGCCTGGCTGGGCTGTGAGTCCAGATGGAACACAGCACTTGTTTTAATAGTTATTCTTTAAAGCCATGCATTAGCAGGACTGATTTTACTCAGAGATGTCAAGATTAAGGGAGAAAGGGAAGAGAAAAGTAGAAAACACAGTATGGTGGGGGCAGGTACTGGGCTCTAGTTCCTTAAGTCATCAACTCAGTGTGTGACTTTGGGGACCTCTCTTCTTCCTTCTGGGCCTCAGTTTATCAATGAGTAGAAGGGGAGCATTGGATTGAATTACCATCCCTGATTTAATCAAAAATACAGAATTGTTTTTTTGAATTTTTTAGAATTGCTGGGAAATGTTCAAAAGTACAGATTCCCAGGTCCCACTCCAGATCCACAGAATCAGAGTCTCCAGCATGAGTTCCTGGGAATCTGTACTTTCTGAAGTTAAATTTACAATGCAAATGTGGCCAGCTCAAACCTGGCACCGCCAGTCTATGTTAATGGATAACAAAGTAGAACTTGATTAATATGAGCTAATTGAGTGGAGTGCAAAATTAATTAAAACTCTGAATTACACTGTGTTTAAACAAGTGTAGTTTTGTTATATTAAATCACACATCAGTTAATGTTGTCTGAGGAGCACTTCAAACAGCCCACATTAATAATTTCCTAGAGATGATTCCTGTATTACAGCAGTTCTTGTGAGGTGCTAAGTCCATTTTGCTTGCTCTGGCAGTTGAAACATTCCTCCTTATTGATATATATGAATGTGGAGGGGAGTTGTTTGTTTTGTTTGTTTGCTTGTTTATTTATTTATTTTGAGACAGAGTCTTGCTCTGTCACTCAGGCTGGAGTGTAGTGGCCTGATCTTGGCTCACCGCAACCTCCGCTGCCTGGGTTCAAGTGATTCTCCTGCCTCAACCTCCTAAGTAGTTGGGATTACAGGCACATGCCACCACACCCAACTCGTTGTTGTATTTTTGCTACAGACGGGGTGTCGTCCTGTTGGCCAGACTGGTCTTGAACTCCTGACCTCAGGTGATCCACCCGCCTTGGCCTCCCAAAGTGCTGGTATTACAGGCATGAGCCACCATGCCCAGACTCCTTACTAATATTTTGAGCTACTTTACCAAATTCTTTTCTCCTCCTTAGGTAAATATGAGGGCAAACTTCAAACTTAGCCGAGATTCTGGATAGAATTGAATGGCATTTTCTTGCTATTTTTCACTGTTTTTGTATGCTGTTTTTGAAACAATAGCTGTATTATTTCTAGGTGTATTTAGAGTCTTTTTATCTAATAAGTATAGGACCTTTAAGAGAGGAATTGCTGCATAGTATTCCATGGTGCATATGTGCCACGTTTTCTTTGTCCAGTCTATCACTGATGGGCATTTGGGTTGGTAAAAAGATGGGTTCATGTCCTTTGCAGGGACATGAATGAAGCTGGAAACCATCATTCTCAGCAAACTAACTCAGGAACTGAAAACCAAACACCGCATGTTCTCACTCATAAGTGAGAGTTGACAATGAGAACACATGGACACAGGGAAGGGAACATTACACACCGGAGTCTGTCAGTGGGTGGGGGGGCTTGGGGAGAGATAGCATTAGGAGAAATACCTAATGTAGATGACGGGTTGATGGGTGCAGCAAACCGCCATGGCACATTATATCTATGTAACAAACCTGCACGTTCTACACATGTACCCCAGAACTTAAAGTATAATAATAATAAAAGAGATGAATTGATTCATTACACCTTTTTATGAACTAAAACTCCTGGTATACTGCCTCATACATATTTTGCCACTACGCTATAAACGCTTTATCTTGTTCCTGCTGTACCTAGGCACCCAAAAGTGTATCTAGCCCCTTGTAGTTGTTCAATAAATATTTGTTGAATGAATGAACGAATACATTGAATGCTTAATAAATGTTTTTAAACTAACAACTCCGCTTAAGGGGGACCTGGGTGATCATAAGCATCACTGCAGGAGCTTTTCAAAAATACAAATTGCTGGACTCCAGGTCTATCCAATCAAAACCTCTAGAGGTGGCACCCAAGTTATTCTGGAACTTATCCATGTTTGGGAGCCACTAAAAAGCATCTCCTAATGTGCTGTATCCGTTCTTCCAATGTTGCCTCCTCCAAGAAGTCTCTCCTGCCTTCCCTCGCCCTAGCTATGGAAAATGGTTTTTCTTGCCTTTGAACCCTTATAGGTCAAATGTTATTATTAGTATTATTACTTCTCCAGTGGCTCTGTTCTCACTCTGCCTCCAATCTCAGCAGTTTCTCTTCTGTCTTTACCCATCTAGGTAGATGGTGAATTCCTTGGAAGTGGGTACTCTGTAATTCATTGAGAACACCTTACAACATCTCACACATGGGGTGACCTGAAGTTCAGACATTATAAACTATCATTGAAGACTCAATGTTGACTTAATAATTGGTTTGTTTCCAGAGAAGAAAAGCACCACTTCCAGAATGAAAGATGGCAGTACATCAGAGACACTGTTAAAATATAACGCAGCGTAACGAGACTATGAATTATCAGTTAATCTTTTCACAATAACTTAACCTGTGTGTTGAGATTATCTTCTGAAAGGTCACTTTCAAATTATAAGAACAGAAAGCAAGAAAAATACTCCTAACATATCCAACATGTCTCAGATGGAGACTGACAATGGAATAATTACTTCCAATAAGTAGCATACCATAGCATGTGATAATAATGGCCAATAATAACCCTAATAGTCCTTGTCCTGGTATTGTACTCCAGGAGCAATTCTAGGCCCATTACCTTAATTCTCCCAACAACCTTCCAACGGTCATTTTACAGATGAGGAAACTGAAGCTTATACAGTTACTCATCTTTAAAAGTTCCTTTTAAGGCCAGGCGCAGTGGCTCACACCTATAATCCCAGCACTTTGGGAGGCCGAGGCAGGTAGATCACCGGAGGTCAGGAGTTCAAGACCAGCCTGGCCAACATAGTGAAACCTCATCTCTACTAAAAATACAAAAAATTAACCAGGCATGGTGGCAGGCACCTGTAGTCTCAGCTACTTGGGAGGTTGAGGCAAAACAATCGCTTGAACCCAGGAAGTGGAGGTTGCGGTGAGCTGAGATTGCGCAACTGCACTCCAGCCTGGGCGACGGAATGAGACTCCATCTCAAAAAAAAAAAAAAAAAAAAAAAAAAATTCGTTTTAAACCCAGAGATTCTAGAATTCAAACAATTAGCATGGGCTACTGTGTGTGTGCACAGGTGTGCACGCATAAGCAAACCATCCTTGTAGTTGTGGGATACAGGGATTTGTGTTGTTGTAGGTTCTATATACTTTGTTCCTTATGCTCCAAGTGTATGCCATCTGCACAAAGATCTTGTCTAACTCTGACCTTTACTTGGGGCCCTCACTATGTCTAAGTTAAGTGAATCATAATATTAGGCTTAATAAATGTTACCAGCGCAAATTTACAGCGGAGTAGGAACAGAGTGTTAGATACGAAGGACTTAAAATAGATTTCTTATTTTTAATTTCCACCAAGAATGAATACAATGGTATGTCCATTTATTAGTGCTTATTTCATCAGTGCTGGCAAAATTGTCAGGGTGGTGAAAGTTACATTCTCAGGGCACTCCCTTCTTCCCACCTCTCTCATGAAACCAGGAGCTTAATGTTTTTTCCTTCTGCCCTGCAGCAAATTCTCACTCTGGAAAGGGCCTAAGGAATATATTATCATTAAGAGAATCCTTATGCACTGTTGGTAGGAATGTTCATTAGTTCAGCCCCTGTGGAAAGCAGTTTGGTGATTTCTCAAAGAACTAAAAATAAAATTACTAGTCAACCCAGCAATCCTATTGCTGGGTATATACCCAACGGAGAATACATTATTCTACCTAAAAGACACCTGCACTCTTCATAACAGCAAAGACATGGAATCAACCTAGGTGCCTATCAACAGTGGATTGGATAAAGAAAATTTGGCACATGTACACCATGGGGTACTATGTAGCCCTAAAAAAGAACAAAATTGTGCATTTTGCAGCAACACAGATGCACCTGGAGGAATTATCCTAGGTGAATTAACACAGAAACGGAAAGCCAAATACCACATGTTCTCACTTATAAGTGAGAGCTAAACAGACATCAAGATAGGAATAATAGACAGTGGGGACTCCAAAAGTGGGAAGGAAGAGAGAGTGACAAGGACTGAAAAACTACCTATTGGGTACTATGTTCGCTATCTAGCAAATGGGTTCAATAGAAGCCCAAATCTCAGCAACACGAAATAATTCCATGTAACAAACCTGCACACATACCCCCTGAATCTAAAAAAAATTTAAAAGTTTTATATTCCCATTAAGACACTGATGAAGTTTTCAGGACAGTTTTGTGACTTTGTAGGGGAATGGAGAAGCAGCTTCTAACTTTCTTTGAAAGGAGGCATCTGGAGTAGTAGACCAAGCCTGGGCTTTGCTTGCATGCCAGAGTTCAAATCCCAATTCTGTCACTTTCTAGTTGTGGGTGGCGGGAATGCCACTTAAGCTCTCTGGCACTCAGTGTCGTTGGCAGTTAAGGATACAAATATCCAGACGGCAATATTGTGGTAAGAGTTGGAAAATATCTGTAAAGGGTCTGATCCATGCGGAGCTCTAAAAGGGCAGAGCTTATGTCTGTCTGTCTCCATTCATGGTTCATGTCAGCATGAGAACAGTCTGGGATCCACGTCGGAGACCAAGGAATATCTACTGAAGGACAGGAGTCAATGAAACGGTAGCCATTCTTACTGAAATCTGCTCTATGCCAAGTGGGTCTACAGTATTTCCTCCTTCTCTGGGCAAGAAAAGGGAGCTGGAGGAATAAGCCTGGCTTCCTGAGATCACTAACCTTCCATTCTTTCTAACCATACCAGGGCAAAGAAGGAGCCTTCATGGTAAGAGATTCCAGAACTCCGGGAACATACACCGTGTCTGTTTTCACCAAAGCTGTTGTAAGGTATGGAGCTAACTCTGCTCAGCAAAGTGGAGAGAAACGCTTCTGAAGTGTGTGAGCATTGGGGTACAGATGACAAAGGCAGACAGTGCAAGAGGTAGAGGCTCACTAGAAATGGTCTGTTTTCCCTCTTCACTCTGAGAAAACCAAGGCCATGGAGATCAAGGATAGAACTTAAGAGACTTAGAAAGTGACAGAGCTGGGGGTGGATGCCAGGTCCTCTTTCAATTAGCATCTCCGATTTTAGAGTTCTAAAGACATAAAATACTTGGCACTGTATTGGATGAGTATATAATGTAATACATAGAATAACAGAAGAGATATTTCTATCTGGAAGCAAAAATATATGAACTGCAGTTCTGGCTCTGCTCATAAAACTACCTACCGTTAACTGAATCTTTATTATGTGCCAGAAAATATGCAGACCATTTCCAATCCTAAGAAGCCCTGAAGGCAGGTATTACTATGCTCATGTCACACAGAAGAAACCGAGGTTGAGGAGCTGATGGTGCCTCCCTACGGCCGTGGGTCTGAACGGGCCAAGGCACCTCCAGCCTCCAGCCAACTGGACTGCAAGACCCTTGCCACTTTTCTGCCCCTCTGGGCCTGTTTCTTCTCTGTAAAACGATGTCTAAGAACCTATCTAGGGCTCAAATTCCCTTCTAATTAGAACATTAGTTAGAACTAAGCTGTTTGACAATGACCAAAGTGCAGTCAGAATTAAGAGAAGAGACAAATAATTCTTAAGGTGTCTTTGGAAAATTTTTTTGGAAGACTGAGACTGTGAGCAGGACGTGGAGCAAGGGCAGGTGGCAAAGAGGAAGGGCCTGATCCAGGGATGGGAGGGAACACAGGGGCTGTGCCTCTGCCATGGCTGGGAGATAGTAAGGAGGTGACCTGCAATCCCGCAGGTATGATGGCGAAGGGATGAAACATACAGTCTGTGTTGAGGCTCCCCACAACTATCCCCAGCTTCAGGAACTCACTAGGAGGCCTTACAGGACTAAGACTTATTGAGATTTAATACAGCAAAGTGATACAAAGCAAACTCAGCAAAGGGAAAAGACACATGGGACAAAATCTAGAGGCCACAAAACACAAGCTTCCGAGAGTCCTCTCTCACTGTCCACCAGGGGAACTCATCAGAGACTCCGTGCCCAAGGCTTTTATTGGAGGCTGTTTCCATAGACAGCCCCTGCCTAGCACATGCCAAAATTCCAGATACCCAAAAGGAAAACAAGAGTTCACCTTAAATCACACTGTTTCTAGCAAACAGTTTAGGCACAGCTCACCACCCTTATCAGTTAGAGAAAGAGCCCTCCCGAAATCCCAGTTCCCCAACACCAGCCAAGGGCTAAGCGTGCAAGCAGGCCTTTCTAAGGAGAGTCGTCAGGCCTGTTAGGTTCATCCTGTGCAGCGTAAAGTCAAGTAAGTGTGAAGGGGTCAGAGAGGTTTTCTGAACGTATGCTGGCAATCAGTTAAATTCACAGAACAGGCAAGGCAATCACATAGCAAATATTTCCCTTCATTCATTTTGTGGCAGTGGAAGAAGCATCACCAATCCATCACAACACTGCTGTCCACTGGGTCCAGACACAACCTCAGAGTCCTTTTAAACACAGTACTGCAGCACCCAGGGCCAACCTGTCAACACTGACTTACAAGCTGAACAATATCTACCATCTTGTGAGAGGTTACAAGACAAAGATAATAAGAACTTAATACTAGTAGACTTTTTTTTTTTGTCTCAACATTGCTTCTTAATAATCACTACATTTACTCTTCATTTGTTTAAGTGAGAACAACCCCTGTATAAAGCACTATCACATCAAGGAAACAAATGACAATCCTAAGCGATACTATGTGGCTGAAAAGTTTGTGTTCGATTCCATCCCTCTTCTCATCAACTATCACCAACATAACGGAGGAGGTAAGCCCTAAAGCAGGGGTGGACCAGGGCCGCCCAGCAGGAGGTGAGCAGCAGGTGAGCAAGCATTACTGCCTGACCGCCGCCTCCTGTCAGATCAGCTACATTAGATTCTCATAAGAGTGCAAACCCTATTGTGAACAGCACTTGTGGGATAGGTTGTGTGTTCCTTATAAGAATCAAATGCCTAATGATCTGAGATGGAACAGTTTCATCCTGAAAGCAACCCCCTGCCACACCCATCCATGGACAAACTGTCTTCCACAAAGTCGGTCCCTTGGTGCCAAAAAGGTTGGGGACTGCTGCTCTAGAGGACAAAGCCAGAAGGCACCTGAGTTAGGCTTTTTTGAATTGCTATCAAGGAATACCTGAGGCTGGGTAATTTATAAAGAAAAGAGGTTTAAATGGTCCATGGCTCTGTAGGAAGCATGGTGCCGGCATCTTCTTGGCTTTTAGGGAGGCCTCAGGAAGCTTTCAGTCATGGCAGAAGGCAAAAGGGGAGCAGGAGTATCACATGGCAGGAGCATGAGCGAGGAGGGAGAAGGTGCCACAGACATTTAAACAGTCAGATCTTGCATGAACTCAGAGTGATAACTCATTTATTATCACAAGGACAGCACCAAGGCATTTGTGAGGGATCCTGCCCAATGACCCAAATACCTCCCATCCCACCAGGCCCCACCTCCTTTCCTTTCTTTTCTTTCTTTCTTTCTTTTTTTTTTTTTTTTTTTTGAGACAGAGTTTTGCTCTGTAGCCCAGGCTGGAGTACAGTGGTTCAATCTTGGCTCATTGCAACCTCCACCTCCCAGGTTCAAGCGACTCTCCTGCCTCAGCCTCCTAATTAGCTGGGATTACAGGCGTGTGCCACCACATCGGGCTAATTTTGGTATTTTTGGTAGGGATGGGGTTTCACCGCATAGGCCAGGCTGGTCTTGAACTCCTGACCTCAGGTAATATGCCCGCCTCAGCCTCCCAAAGTGCTGGGATTACAGGTGTGAGCCACCATGCCCAGCCAGCGATTACATTTCAACATGAGATTTGGAGGGAACAAACATCCAAACGATATCAGCACCCACACAGGAGACTTAATGAAAACTGGCAAAAGCCCACCCTGGCTTCTTTTTGATCATAAATAATAAACAAAAATACAAAAATATGACAAATATTTAATTATATTATATATCTTCTATTAGCAAGTTATCTTACGGAAATCATGAAATTTTACCACCTGCCCATCTGTGCCTATGATGTTTTCAAGGAGGGTGCGATATCAATAATTAGGCTTTGGGATTTGTTTTCCAGAATAAAATTAGCTTTTGCATCTGAATATTATTATTGTTGTTATTATTATTATTATTTGTAGTGATTTAAGGTAGATGGTTGCTACAGCAAAGCCCTAACCACTGCTTCTTGGCTTTTCAATCATCCCAGGCCTGGTGACTCGACTCCGGTATCCAGTGTGTTTTGGGAGGCAGAAAGCTCCAGTTACAGCAGGACTGAGATACGGTGAGCAGTACAATCAGGAATGTAAACTCATGTCCCTCAAGGTCTGGGGCAAATTCTGAATAAATTGGCCATGAGCCTACCTGTTCCCCAGACTACAAATCACCATTAAAACAAGTATATTATATATCTAGAGATGATGGCAGTAATGAATATTTACATTGTGTGTAAGAGAAGTACATACATAAGCATATTTCTCTAGGTCAAACCAGTGGCCATTGGTTTTAGTGAAGAGTTCATTAATGAAGTGTTTATTAAGCACCTACTTTGTACAGAGCACTCTACTAAATGCTATTAGAAAAATATTAGAAAACCGTGCCTTAGCACTGTGTTTCCACCTATCTTCTAGAACTTTTATATCATCTAGTTGGCTGAGTAGCAGACTATTGCAAGAACTGCAAGCTGACAGCATCTGGAAGTATTTGTCTGCATAAGAGATTGTTAAAATTCTTTGGAATGCCTTTAGGCATGGCATGATCTCCAGTGCTACAGCCCCTACTATGTTTTCTTGTCCTATGGAATCGCTTCACTCACTTGGGATTATCTGCCTGGACTCTGAAGGCATATGGCTTTGCATAGCCTTGGCCCCAACTGTGCGCTGCCTGTGGATTAGGCAGAAGGCTGCCTAATTTTCACTTCTTATCTCCTAGGTTGGTGGTTCTCAAACTTCAGTGTGCATCAAAGTCTTCTAGAATGCTTATTAAAAATGTTGACTCCTGGCTCCTATCCAAACACTCACCAAAACACAATCCTTGATAGGGTCTAGGAGTCTGCTTTTTTTCTGGCATGGTCTTGCTTTGTCACCCAGGCTGGAGATGCAGTGGCGTAATCACGGCTCACTGCTGCCTTGACCTCCTGGACTCAAGCGATCCTCCCACCTCAGCCTCCCAAGTAGCTGTGACTACAGACACACGCTACCATGCCCGGCTAATTTTTAAAAATTTTTTGTAGAGACAGGGTCTCACTATGTTGCCCTGGCTGGTCTTAAACTCCTGGGCTCAAGCAATCCTCTTGCCTCGGCCTCCCAAAGTGTTGGGATGACAGGCATGAGCCACTGTGCCCAGCCGAGTCTACATTTTAAACAAAATCATGCTAGGTGATTTTGATACAGGTGGTCAGAGGGCAATACTTTGAGAACCACTGCCACGCATGGGCTTCTTTATCCCTAACCAGCACCATGTCCGGCACATAGTAGGTGCTCAATACTGCTTGCTGTTGAGTCTCTGCCTCAAAGCGGTGGAAATCTTGCTGTTTAGGTACCAGACCAAGCATTGGAAAAGGATAATGCTTCTTTAGCCTCCTTATGAAAATAAGGGTATTCTAATAAATGTAGAATCTTAATGTGTCCATGCTGGATGGGATCTCAGATATTATCTGGTCAGCCCACGCATTTGGTCGGTGAGGAAACTGAGCCTTGGAATCTCATATTTGTTTGTTAAACTTTTCTTGAGAACCTCCCATGTGCCAGACACTGTGCTAGATTGTGCCTCTGCACAAACTGTCTTTGAATCTGTCTCTTTAACTGCCCCTCCGCCCCAGTAAGGCCTAATAGAGTTCTGCGTATATAGCAGATGCGCTTGATAGAGGAACAAATGAAAGAATGATCAGCTCAAATGAAATTTACTTAGTGTGAAAAATGACAATAAAAACTTTAGAGTCAGACATAGAAAATGGTTGTGACATTGCAAGAACCCTTTCTTTAATATTTTTATTAACATGGTTTCTTTAACATCTTGACTAATGCCACTCTCCTTCTTCTTTCCATGTTACCTTCCCACACATATTTTCATAGTTTTCTAGCATATCCTATGCTATTATGTGGGAAAAAAGATTATTTATTTGCCATCTTTGAATTATATTAACATAGGCTAAAATTCTAGATAGGGCTTTATAATCCCCTGGTATCCCAGTACCTTATATCTACCACTTGCTGACCCCAGGGAACTCTCTCTTTCTCTTCCAGGGAAATGGGTGATTGATCCCTCAGAACTCACTTTTGTACAAGAGATTGGCAGTGGGCAGTTTGGGTTGGTGCATCTGGGCTACTGGCTCAACAAGGACAAGGTGGCTATCAAAACCATTCGGGAAGGGGCTATGTCAGAAGAAGACTTCATAGAGGAGGCTGAAGTCATGATGTGAGTGCTCGAAACAGGGATATGCAGAAACTCTGGGTGGAGGAACATCAGTTCCGTGTTCTTGAAATGCCATTCAAATGCCATAGAGTACTATCTCCTTGTGCAAGCTCCCGGCAGTGGCTTCCTATCGCACAGAGAATAAAATCAAACTCCTCACACTGGTCTCCAAGGCCCACCATAATCTGATCATGCCTACCTCCCCCTTCTCAGCTCCTACCCATCTCTCCTCCCGTCCATGACATGCCAGCCCCACTGGCCTCTGCTCATCTTCACACACACAGCTGACTCCTTGCCATTTGTCAGGTTTCATTTCCAATGACATGTTTTTGTTTTGGGGAGGGAATGAACATTATTTTCATCCAAACCATAAATTAGACAAAATGACCATTGGCTATTTTGGTACCATAATATTTTCGGCATTTTGGGGAGGCTGAGTTTAGGCCATCTCACCCCTTGTCTTTTTCCTCCAGGAAACTGTCTCATCCCAAACTGGTCCAGCTGTATGGGGTGTGCCTGGAGCAGGCCCCCATCTGCCTGGTGTTTGAGTTTATGGAGCACGGCTGCCTGTCAGATTATCTACGCAGCCAGCGGGGACTTTTTGCGGCAGAGACCCTGCTGGGCATGTGTCTGGACGTGTGTGAGGGCATGGCCTACCTGGAAGAGGCATGTGTCATCCACAGAGACTTGGTATGAGCACGCAGGGTGAACACCCACAGGTCCAGGGTAAAGGGACAGGTCTCACTCAAATGACTGGGAATGCATTAATAATTAATACATCACAGACAATCTCCTTTCCTCTCTCAACTTCTCCCTTCCTTCACCTACTTCGGGTGGTCCTAGTGGAAAGTGCTTCATGAGGACTTACTTCTGGGCCGTAATCCCAGTCCAAAGTCTTTCACCTCCTGCATTTCAGTTTATATTCTTCCAAAATGGAGATCACTGCCATTCCTTCTTAACCTCTCTGTGACTCAGTTTCCTCCTGGTAAATTGAGGAAACTGAGTTTGTCTGAAGGTGTTATTCAAGGGTCTACCAGAATCACACTGGGCAAGCCCTTAAGCTCCTCTCAGAATCTCTGGTGGCTGGGACTCAGGAATATTCATTTTAACACATTCCCCATATGATTTGTACGCGCATTAGAATTTGAGACATACGGCCGGGTGTGGTGGCTCATGCCTGTAATCCCAGCACTTTGGGAGGCCGAGGTGAGTGAATCACGAGGTCAGGAGTTCGAGACCAGCCTGGCAAACATGGTGAAACCCGATCTCTACTAAAAATACAAAAAAATTAGCTGAGCTTAGCGGCGGGCACCTGTAACCCTAGCTACTCGGGAGGCTGAGGCAGGAGAATTGCTTGAACCCAGGAGGCAGAGGTTGCAGTGAGCTGAGATCATGCCACTGCACTCCAGCCTGGGCAACAGAGTAAGACTCCATCTAAAAAAAAAAATGGAGACACACTGGGGTGTTATCTCTAAGGGCTCTTTCAAAGCAACATTGTATAATACTAATTAGGGGTCAGGTACTCTCCTTATTAAAGAATAGTTTTAAGAGGATTAACAACATCAAAACATTCTTAATCTAGTCAACTGGGAGACACTTTCTTCCTGTTATCCCTGATGTTAACATTTCCTATCACATCAGGTTGCATTAGAGCCTATCCTTGGTTAGACAACACCAAGGATTTCTAATTAGAACTCAAGAATGGAGATAAACTTACTCATCTTGATAGTGGATCTTACACATTCAACTTTCCAGTTAACTTCTAGCAGGCATTTGTGAGGCTTAATTAACATTTGTAAAGCTCCAGGATGCCCTTGTATGACAGCACTGCAGTAAAGCAAAGGACTGGGATTATAGGAGACTCCTTAACTACTGACGACCCATCAACAGTTTTCCTCTCCCCCTTTGTTTGCCTGTCTCCTCTCCAGGCTGCCCGAAATTGTTTGGTGGGAGAAAATCAAGTCATCAAGGTGTCCGACTTTGGGATGACAAGGTAAAAGAGGGATGTGGTGCCAGTGAAGTCTCAGGAATGGGACTCAGGCCCCCGGAACATTCTGACCTTCTCCCTCCACTCTCTTCCCAGGTTCGTTCTTGATGATCAGTACACCAGTTCCACAGGCACCAAATTCCCGGTGAAGTGGGCATCCCCAGAAGTTTTCTCTTTCAGTCGCTATAGCAGCAAATCGGATGTGTGGTCATTTGGTGAGTGTCATGCTGGGCCCCGCCGCCCCAAGATCTGGGCTGCAGGCCAGCTGTTTCCTTTATCAAATGCGGACAACCTTACCCACCCTGAACCCAGTATCGTATCATGAGGGTGTCCTACTGGAGGGTTGCGTAAGAAAGGCCCTGAAAACTATGAAAGGGCCTTCATTATTTTATTTGTTTTTAGAGATATTGGACATGGTTGGGAGTTAACTAAAAGTGGAGACAGCGTTCTGGTGCCAGCTGCTGTGAAGTCAAAAGCTGGAGAAGTCAAGAGATTCAAATATGAGCCCCTTGAAGGCAGGGACCATGTTTTGTCCAACATTACATTTCCATACTTATCTCTTAATAAGTATTAATATTTATTCATTCAACAACAATTAACTGAGGATCTATTCTATGCCAAGGGCTAATCTAGGTGCTGAGGATGCAATGGTTCATAGGACAGAAAAGACTTCTATTCTTTTGGAACTAAATTTGAGACGGGAGGAGAGACAGAAAATCACAAAAGATCATAATAACCATCGTAAACCATAACAATCATAAACAAGCTAAGGGATAGAAGATAAAGTCCAACAATCATAAGTAGGTGCTATGAATAAAACAGTAATGGGGCAGAGTGACTAGAATGGAGAGAGGGTCTGCTTTGAATAGGGTGGTGTGGGAGGGCCTTTCTCAGAAGGTAATTCTTTAGCAGAGACTTGAATGATAGGAGGGAGCTGTCACCATTTGAAGAGCCAGGGAACAGTGTCCCTGATAGAGGGACCAGCAAGTGCAAAATCTTGGTGCATCCAAAGAACAGGGGGTACTGACTTATTGGGAGAACAATAGACAATGAAGCTGGCAGGCCATGGTAAGGAATTAGAATTTCTAAAAAGTGCAAATGGCTATGAATGAATGAATGATGTTGGTATGGCGAGATGTACCAAATGTTCTTGCTGGATTTGTCATGTCACCTGAAGTCATAGTTTGTGCATACTAAAGTGTGCAACAAATATATACCAGAGAACCTCTTTGATTTGGATTACAAGAAGAATTATACTGTGTACAGAAACTACTTGAAGATTGATTTTTGCCATTCGGTATGAAGGAAGGGTTTGACAAGGTCTTACTAGTAGTAGAAACCAGGGGGAGGTTGGCTAGGTAAATCTTTTAGGAGAAGAATGAGTGTTAAAAATCTTCTCCAGCATTTTAGACTATCCATCTCTAGGAGTCAAGTGGTTTGTTGATGATGAGTCCTACCTGTTTCTTAAAACAGTCCCTATTCACCAAACCTAGCAGCCACTTTGTTCACCAGGTTTAAGTTACAGAATGGACTTGAAAGAAATTGTACTAACAGCATTCTTGGATGACTCTCCTCTCCCCAGTGTGTATAACTAGGAAGTTTGGGGCTGATGTATAGTCATCTCACTATGGGTGATGAAACTGATCACACTGCACCAAGCAAGGGCCCCACAATGAGACATTTGGAGCAATGGCCACTTTAGCACATTCACCTTCTGACTCTGAATGGGGTTTATTCAGCCAAAGGGTATCAGCCTGGGAATTTCCTGCAGCATCTTACCATTAGAGGGTTGGGCTGAAATTCGTCCCTGCCTAGGATATGTTATTTGAAGAGAGTCCAGAAATGAGGTTGATGGATGGATGCAGAATAGAAAGAGGTCAATGAAAAAAAAGTGTGAAAAAACTGGGGGTACCAGCCTAAGCAACAGAAACCTGGATGAACTGAAAGCTCCATGCCTGCATCAACCCATTTGACTTTGTCCTATGTTTTAAGTTTTTTTGCCCTCATTAGCAGTGTGCTTTTCAGAACAAGTCAACCTCTTTGCACTTCACTCAATTTTTTTTATCTATACATATCTCATCTATGCATCTATGTATTAAAGAAATCATTCTGAAACCATGTTTTAGCAGCAGCACATTTTCAAATAAATTTTCACTAAAAATTATGGTGTCTTGGAGTGATAAGCATTCTTATTTAGGGTCAGGTTCTGAATTTCCAACTCCCGAGGCACCTCTGAGTAACACTAGAGATTCTGATCACTGGATCTGGGCTAGGGCCCAGTAATCTGCCATTTGAACAAGGCTGTGAGATGATTTTTATTCAGGTGTTTTGAGGATCATGCGTTGGGAATGGGTACTCTAAGATTCTCTGGAACAAGCTTCGGAAAGCTCTGGATTAGCTGATTTGCAAGCAGCCGTCTTGCTCTGACAACCTGTGAATATATCAGCACATGATAAAGACAAAGCTGGGTGTGACATTTCTACTAAGGGCAGAAGAGGAAAAGAAAGGGATTAAATCAGAGGTCAAAACTAGACAAGCAAAAGATGTGTTTTGCTTAGTCTGCATGGTATTTTTAAAATTCAAGAAGTTCAACTCTTAATTTTTGACTTCTTTTTTAAAAAAAAAATCAGAAAATGTGACAATTCTGATCCCTCATTTTCATGTGCCATACTTTGGTTGGAGTCAAATCATAGCTGTCTCCTTAAGACAGAACTGTTTATTTCATTTTCCACAATCCTCCCCAATCCCTATAGTGTCACACCTCCTGCACGCCATTCATTTACATCCTGCATCGTGGTGTTTCAGTCTACAACTGTTAGTTGTAGCATTTGAGTTTGATATAACAAAGGGTCCATCTTGAAAAATCCTTCTCCACTACAAAGGTCGGGAAATTTCAGTTCTTTAAAAATAAGACAGGCCTAACAAACCTCAGGTAGACTCAATGTACTTCTGGAGGTAGCACATGGATCCTAGTGCCAAGGAGTCTGTAATTTCTAGAGGCAGGTTGGTTTGTTTGCTGTCTGTGAGCTTTGTCATTCACTGTGCTGTGCTCACCATTTCTCGTAGGTGTGCTGATGTGGGAAGTTTTCAGTGAAGGCAAAATCCCGTACGAAAACCGGAGCAACTCAGAGGTGGTGGAAGACATCAGCACCGGATTTCGGTTGTACAAGCCCCGGCTGGCCTCCACACATGTCTACCAGATTATGAATCACTGCTGGAAAGAGGTCAGCGGAGGAAGTGCTTCCCCATGCATTGTCGTATACAATTTCAGGACCTGCCTCCTTCCCTAGAGAAAGGAACCCTCTCGGAAGGATGAGGCAGGAGGGATAACTAATATAGATTAGCAACAACATGACTTTGAGGATCTATTAACGGGGATGAATCCCCCATCCCTAAAAAGGAGCTGACGGTGACCTTAAAGGTTATTTGGTTTGCTACATAATGTCACAAGCTATAAGCATAGCTTCAGAGAGGAGGATGGGGTGTGGCCTATGCCAGCTTCCTTCTCGATTTTCTGAGAAGAGAAAAAAAAATCTGTAACATCATAAAACCATTAGAAGTTATAGAAATAACTTCGGGAACGAAGTTCACCTGTGCTATGAAAATATTAAAATGGCTTAATTTGAGTACATTTTATTCATTCAGCAATTTAAAACAAGGAGGCAATTACTCTGTACCCACCCGGGTGGCTCATTTACCCCATCTTTGGATTGCAGGCCATGGCTTGAGCCCCATCACTGTGAGTCTTAGTCTTGGCTGAGTTAGAAAATCATACATTTCAGCCAAAGTGGAAAGTTGCTGAAATAGAGAATTAATAAAAATTCAGATCACTGTAGGACAACAAGGTAGAATACAAAAAATTTAGAACACTAGGATTTTGTCTCAGCTTTACCATTTATTTGCCATTAATCTTTGACAATTCTCTGAACTTCCTTTTTCTTACTGTTGAGAGAATTAAATAATGATTGATCTATGAGTTCACAGAGCTTTTATAATCGGAAAGAAACAAACAATAAAGACATAAACAAGGGCATAAAACAAATCTTATCCACTTCATAAGGATTAGCTGCAATAATAATAATGATGGCTGACATTCAGTTAGCACTTTTTTTCCTCTTTTAACCATCACGTATTGATTTTTTTAAATTAATAGACTTTATTTTTTAACAAAGAGTACAGAGTTCTCATATACCCACCTCACCTGAACAGTTTCACTGTTCACTAACATTTGGCATGAGTGTGACACTTTTGTCACAATTAATGAACTTCTATTAATACATTAACTAAAGTTCATAGTTTACATTAAGGTTCAGTCTTTGTGCTGTAGAGTTCTGTAGGTTTTCACAAATTCATAATACCATATATCTGTCACTATAGTATCAGACAGAATAGTTTTACTGCCCTAAAAAATCTCCTGTCCTTCACCCATTTATCCCTCTCCTCATCACCAGACCACTGACAACTACTGATCTTTTCACTGTCTCCATAGCTTTGCCTTTCTCAGCATGCCATATGTTGGCATCATACAGCATGTAGGCTTTTCGGACTGGCTTCTTTCACTCAGTAATATGATTTAAGATCCCTCCATGTCTTTTTGTGGCTTAATAACTAATTTCTTTTTATTGTGAAATAATATTCCATTGTATGGATATATCACAGCTTGTTTATCTACTTACCTACTAAAGGAAATCTTGGTTGCTTTCAGTTTTTGTGTTGTTTGTTTGTTTGGGTTTTGGGGGTTTTGTTTTGTTTTGTTTGAAATGGGGTCTTATTCTGTCACCCAGGCTGGAGTGCAGTGGTGCGATCTCAGCTCACTGCAACCACTGCCTCCCCGTCTCAAGCGGTCCTCCCACTCGGCCTCCCAAGTAGCTGGGACCACAGACGTGTGCCACTGTGCCGAGCTAATTTTTTGTATTTTTAGTAGAGATGGGGTTTGCCACACTGCCCAGGTGAGCTCAGGCAATCAATCCACCCACCTCAGGCCTCCTGTAGTGCTGGGATTACAGGTGCGAGTGCTCAGGCAGACTGGTGTCTTTCACTCAGTAATATGCCTTTGAGGTCCCTCCATGTCTTTGTGGCTTGATAGCTCATTTCTTTTTATTGCTAAATAATATTCCATTGTATGGATATACCACAGTTTGTTTATACATTTACCTGCCAAAGGAAATCTTGCTTGCTTTCAGTTTTAAACAATTATGAATAAAGCTGCTATAAATGTTTATGTGGAGATTTTTGTATGCACATAAATTTTCAACTCAATTGGGCAAATGCCTAAGAGTATGCTTGTTGAATCATATGGTAAGACTATGTTTAACTTGTTAAGAAACTGCCAGTATGTCTTCCAAAGTAGCTGTATTATTTTACATTCCCACCAGCAATGAGAGTTCCTCATTAGCATTCGTTGTTTTGGATTTCAGTGGTTCTAATAGATGTGTAGTCATATTACATTGTTGTTTTAATTTGCATTTTCCTAATGACATATGATGTTAAGTATATTTTCATATGCTTATTTGCCACCTGTATATCTTCTTGGTAATATCTATTCAGATCTTTTGCCCATTTTTCAATCAGGTTGTTTGTTTACTTACTGTTGAGTTTTAAGAGTTCTTGGTATATTTTGGATACAAGTCCTTTATCAGACATGTGCTTTGCAAATATTTTCTCCTAGTCTGTGGCTTGTCTTCTTATTCTCTTGACAGTGTCTTTCACAGAGCAGACTTTTAAAATATTTTAACAAAGCTCAACATCAACTTGTTTATTCATGAATTGTGCTTTTGGTTTACATCTAAAAACTCATTGCCAAGCCCAATGTCACCCAAATTTTCTCCTATGTTATTACGGAAGTTTTATAATTTTGCATTTTTACATTTTGAGTTAATTTGATCCACTCTGAGTTAATTTTCCTGAAAGGTATAAGGTCTGTGACTAGAGTCATTGTTTCACATATGGATGTCCAATTATTACAGCACTGTTTGTTGAAAAGACTATACCCTTTCTCCTCTGTTCCTTTGTTAAGTATTAGTTTACTATATTTATATGGATCTATATCTGGGCTGATCCATTAATCTGCTTGTTTATTCTTTAACTCGTACCATCCTGTCATTACTGTAGCTTTAAAGTAAGTCCTGAAGTCAGGTAGGGTCTTCCAGCTTTGTTGTTCTTCTTCATTATCGTATTGGCTCTCTGGGTCTTTTGCCTCTCCATATAAATGTTACAGTAAGTTTGTCAATAGCTACAAAATAACCTGCTGAGATTTTTATTAGGATTGTATTGAATCTATAAGTGAAGTTGGGAAGAACTAACATTTTAACACTATAGTGTCTTCCTGTCCATAAGCATGGAATATCTGTCCATTTATTTAGATCTTCTTTGCTTTCTTTTATTAGAATTTTTAATTTTTTCTCATATAGATCCTGTAGATATTTTCTGAGATTTATACCCAGATATTTCATATTTTGATGTTCTTTAGCATTAATGTCATGATATATTTTTATATGTGATTTAATTCTCAAAACAATTTCATGAGGTAGATACTATTATTATTCCCATTTCACAAATGACAAAACTGAGGTTCAAAGAGGTTAAATAACCTGCTCAATGTCACACAGCTAATTCATGGTACAACTGAAATTAAACACTAGTCTATTGGATTCCAGAATACCTGCTGTTAAAAACTAGGACAATGTATGTGGAATACAGTCTATATGGAAGCACATATAAAACTCCGCAGGGGATGCTGCTATTAAATTCTGGTTTGTTTTGGATTTACCTATGACACACAAGTACAGGGAACTTACAGAGTTCTTTTTTCCCTCTCCAGAGACCAGAAGATCGGCCAGCCTTCTCCAGACTGCTGCGTCAACTGGCTGAAATTGCAGAATCGGGACTTTAGTAGAGACTGAGTACCAGGCCACGGGCTGCAGATCCTGAACAGAGGAAGGATATGTCCTCCTTCCATAGAGCATTAGAAGCTGCCACCAACCCAGGACCCTCCAGAGGCAGCCTGGCCTGTGGCATCAGTCCCTGAGTCACCATGGAAGCAGCATCCTGACCACAGCTGGCAGTCAAGCCACAGCTGGAGGGTCAGCCACCAAGGTGGGAGCCAGGCCAGAACAGAAATGATGTCTCTGCCCTCCCTGTAGCCTCTTGTCACATGTGGTGCACAAACCTCAACCTGACAGCTTTCAGGCAGCATTCTTGCACTTCTTAGTAATAGAGAGAGACATGAGTAAGACCCAGATTGCTATTTTTATTGTTATTTTTAACATGAATCTAAAGTTTATGGTTCCAGGGACTTTTTATTTGACCCAACAACACAGTATCCCAGGATATGGAGGCAAGGCGAACAAAGAGCATGACTCTTTTTCTAAGAAAACTGGTGAGTTAACTAAGGTTAGAGTGAGTGTGCTCTGTTGCTGTGATGCTGTCAGCCACAGCTTCCTGCCGTAGAGAATGATAGAACAGCTGCTCACACAGGAGGCCGGATATTCTGAGAAGCAGCTCTGTGAGGTTTTACAGAGTACGCTGCTACCTCTCTCCTTGAAGGGAGCATGGTGAGAGCCGTTGGATGGATTGGGGTGAGCAGTTCAGGTCCCATGCTTGGAGCGTTGGGTATCTGATGTCTGCGCCAGAACAAGAGAACATCTGACGGTGGAGAACCACGTGGTACAAGAAGAGACCTTAGGTTTTATCACTCCCATGCCCATCTTTTATACGAAGCTGTGCAGGTGATTATGTCTCTTCTTCAGCACAGAACGCTTCCACCAGCATCCTGAGAAGAAATGATCACTTCTGAATACGGACTCTGAGGGGCATCCTGTTTTTCCAGTCTCTGGGAATCAGCCCCTTCTCTGCACTATCCGATCCTCATCAACAGAGGGCAGCATTGTGTTGGTCAGTGTTGCTTTGGCGAGCAATTGAAACTTGTTTAGGCCCTAGGGTTGAGCAATTTTAAGGTTGAGACTCCAAGCCTCCTAAAATTCTAGGAGAGAAATAAAGAGTCTGTTCTTGCTCAAACCATCAGGATGGAAACAGCCAGGCACTGACTGGGGTGCTTCTAAGAGGCACGAGAATGCCTACTCTGGCTTGAGCACTTCTGTATGCAAGGTGAATATGTGCTGAGCTAGGAGACTTTCCTGCACTATCTCTGTTCACCCAGGGTTCACATCTCCATGAGGCAGTATTATTATTCCCATTTTACAAATAATGTAACTGAGACTTTAAAAGACCAAGACATCTGCCCAAAGTGACGGAACCAGAAAGTCTAGAGCTGGTATTCTAGCCCAAATCTGTCTGACCCCAATACACAGATTCTTTATTCCTTTTCGACAGTGCCTCCTACTGAAAGTGAAAGGGATTGAAGAGGGAATAAATACAACAGAGAGGAAAGATGGAAAGTCAGTAAAGAAGTAAATATAGAACCACTGGTGAATAGTGTTGCTCTGGCACAGACCACTGTGGTTGATGGCATGGCCCTCCAACTTGGAATAGGATTTTCCTTTTCCTACTCTGTATCCTTACCTTGGTCATGTTAATAACTTTGGAGTTACTCAGTTAATGAACCCTTTAATTCTCACAACCCACCAGTCATGTTGCTTGAAGCCGTTTATAGACGAGCTTCAAAGCAATTTTAGAAGATTCTTCTGTAGAAGTATGAGTCCTTCCTTTAATTATCATTCCAACTTTCAGCTGTAGTCTTCTTGAACCCTTCATGAGGAGGGACATTCCCTGATATGAGAGGATGATGTTGCAATTGGCTCTTTCTAAATCATGTGACATTTTGACTGACTTGAGATTCAGATGCATAACTTTTAATTATAATTATTGTGAAGTGGAAAGCCTCAAGATAAAACTCTGTCATTCAGAAGATGATTTTACTCAGCTTATCCAAAATTATCTCTGTTTCCTTTTTAGAATTTTGTACATTATCTTTTGGAACCCTTAATTAGAGATGATTTCTGGAACATTCAGTCTAGAAAGAAAACATTGGAATTGACTGATCTCTGTGGTTTGGTTTAGAAAATTCCCCTGTGCATGGTATTATCTTTTTCAAGCTCAGATTCATCAAAGCCTTAACTGAACATGTGTAGATACTTCACCTCCCGGTGTCCTATCCCGCAAAATGGGCTTCCTGCCTGGTTTTTCTCGTCTCACGTTTTGTAAATGGTCCCCTGTATTTGTAGAGAACTCCCTTATGCAGAGTTTTGGTTCCAGTTTTATTTTGTAGATTTTGCATTTTGTACCTTTTGAGACTATGTATTTATATTTGGATCAGATACATATTTATTAATGTACAGTCACTGCTAGTGTTGAAAATAAAAATGTTACAAATACCTGTTATCCTTTGTAGAGCACACAGAGTTAAAAGTTGAATATAGCAATATTAAAGTTGTGTTTTAAGAAATGTGGTGCATAGGGCCTGGGTTCCGTATTTATTTAAATCGCAAACTCTCAGAAATTTTCCTTAAGTAAAAATGGTTACATGGTTTCATTTTCCACAGACAATTAAAGACTACATATCATTGAACAACATGCATTCAACAAGTAAATATCAAATGTTCCTACGGGTCATGCACACAGCTCAGTGTATGTATCCTCTTGAAAACAAAGATGGAAAAGGCATAGTCTTTACTTCTAAAAAATTCCTAGTCTGATTGTAAAGGAAAACATATAAAGAAATAAAATTATGATACAGCAATTAGGGCAACAACAAAAAACTGGTCAAAGAAGAGAAGAGCCCAGAAAAAGTGATGGAATCTGTCAGGGAAAGGATGACACCAAGGTAAACTTCCTAGAGCCCTGATACTCAAAGTGTGGTCCCTGGACAAGCAGCAATAGCATCACCATGTTGTGAGAAATGCAGATTCTCAGGCTTCTTCCTCACCTACTGAGCAATAATCTTCATATTAACAAGATCTGCAGGTAATTGTATACACATTAAAGTTTAAGAACCACTGTTACAAGGATATACTGTCTAACCCAGTTTTGAAGATAAATTTATGAGTTACAAGGTAAGTAAGTGGGCAGAAGTAAGAGAAATACTTTCCAGGTAGAGAGAACAGGATGTATTGGGAAGCTATTGTCAGTTCACTATTGCTGGAGAGCGCGTGCATGCACACGTGTGTGTGTGTATTTTCTCAGCAAAGGTAAGGATGATAAAAGAGGTGGGTAAATTGAAACTGAGTCTATAAATATAGGCAAGAACTATACTTTAAAAGACCAGGAAGTTGGAATTTCACCCTATAGGTAGAAAAGATGTCATGGCACAGCAAGAGAAGGTCAAATTTGTGATCTGTGTTTAAGAGTATATTCTGACAGCAGCATAGTGAATGGATTTGAGAAAGGCAAAGCCAGTGGAAAAGAAACTAATTCGGAGATGATTTTTGCCTTGTTCACAGTACCATATTATTTTTCCTAATCATTCACTGTCATCTGCTGTGTGGGTGATATATGGAAATTGTAATTTGGAGTTCGTCACTTACTGTTGGATAACAACAAAATAGCTTTCCCTCTTAAAATCCCGGTAATATAAAGGCTGGGTGGTTATAGTTTTGGTGTCCAATAGTTTTTCAGTCCACCAAATGCCCAGCTCCATTGCAGGAGCCAGTTTGTGTGCCAACCACTGAGCATGGATGAGAAAGCTCAAGGCTTCCATGCAGTCCTTTCCAGAACTCACCTCTGGGCTTGAATCCCACTGCCAAATCATCCACACGAGAAAGTCAAAAGCAGATTGGAGGAACAGATCCGCTTCTTAGAGGATTTTTCCTGCAGACCTTGCTCTTCTCAGAATCTCCTAACACCTAAGGCCACCCTTTTGAGGAAGAGACAGAAATACCTCATTCAGCAAGACAGGGAGTGTGTGCATCATCAGGTGCGGAAACAGCTCCAGATTCCCAATTAGAGGGCTTGGGAAGGTGGCCTGGTCAGGAAGAGAGGGTTAGGGGTGGAAGCTGCATTTGAACAGTAAGCACATGGTTTTACTTTAGAATAGATATTAATTTGCGTGAGCTTTAATGGGGAAGGTGCTGAAATTTTGGTGCACTGAGGCTCACTTCCCAGAGCCACCCCTTGGTACCAGCACTAGGGGTGTGTATGGTTGTGTAATGGTGTGTCTGCAATGACTTTGAGATTCTCCCTAAGGTACAATGTATAGGATAACAGAATCAGACAATGAGTGGTAGAAGGAGTTTTAGAGGTCATTTATTTACTTCATAAATGTTTACTATTCATCTACTATGGCTCTTTGTTAGGTACATGATCTAAAAAGATGACTAAGATATATTATCAGTTAGGGACCAAGCATGTCACAATCAAATTAGTATAATTTGAGGAGAACTTTTTCACAAAGGACTATTTAAAACTGTGTGGGTCAGTTTGGGAGAACCTTAGAAAGTGGTACAGAGGAAAACGACAGCTGAGCCCTCATGCTATGGTTTAAATGCTTGTGCTCCTCCAAAATTCCTATTGAAACAATCTCCAGTGCAATAGTATTAAGTGGTGAGGCCTGTAGGAGGTGATCAGGTCGTGAGGGCTCTGCCCTTATGAATGAGATTACTGCCCTTATGAAAAGGTTTGAGAAGTTAGTCCCTTTCTGCCCTTTACCCTTCTGCCATATGAGAACACAGCAACAAGGTGTCATCTATGGAGCAGAAAGCGAACCCTGACCAGACACTGAATCTGCTGGCACCGTGGTCTTAAGCTTCCCAGTCCCCAGCACTGTGAGAAATAAATTTCTGTGGTTTATAAATTACCCAGTCTAAGGTGTTTCATTATAGCAGCTTCAGTAGCTTGAAACAAGTAGTTATCACCCCCTAGGCCCGAAGGGATGATGAGTGGGAGTGGTCATTTAAATATGGAAAGAGAATATTAGAGAGTGCTGCCTTAAAGGAGAAGACCTTTAGTAATGGACAGAGGAAACCCAAGGCAACATCACAGGGAGGAAGTCAGGGGCATCAATACCCTGCCTCACTCTCCTTCCTTCCTCCCATCAACTGGGTCTTCTATTGGTCAAATCCCACTGAAGGCAGAGGACAAGGAAGCCCTAGTAGGGTAGTCCATAGAGGTCGGTCTCCAGGACCAGAGTGCAGGGTGAGAGAGTGGAGTGGTCTGGAGAGACAAAGAGAAGATACCTAGTACAGACACCATCCTTCCCATAAGAGGGCTCAGCCTAGTGAAAAAGTTCAACACTTAAACAAGTGCAATTGATTCTCATTACTCATAGATTCTGTATTGGTAAGCTTGTCTACTGGCTAAAATTTATTTAGAACCCTAAAATCAATCCTGGAGGCTTTTCCTGCAGTCATTCATGATATGGCCAAGTGTGGAGCAGTGAAAATTTTGCGTTGCTCCATATACACATTCCCAACTGAGGTCAAACAGAGTGGTGTTCAGCTCTCATGCTGCAAGCAAGTGGCTTTAGAAAAGCCTATTTAATGACACATTTTCTGCATTTCTGTACTTTTTTTCTGGTGATTTTTCTGTTTAAAATGGCCTCCAGCCAGGCATGGTGGCTCACGCCTGTAATCCCAGCACTTTGAGAGGCTAAGGCGGGTGGATCACCTGAGGTCAGGAATTTGAGACCAGCCTGGCCAACATATAGTGAAACCCCATCTCTACTAAAAAAAAATACAAAAATTAGTTGGGTGTGGTGGTGCATGTCTGTAGTCGCAGCTATTTGGGAAGCTGAGGCAGGAGAATCGCTTGAACCTGGGAAGTGGAGTTTGCAGTGAGATGAGATCCTGCCACTGTGCTCCAGCCTGGGTGGCAGAGCAAGACTTCATCTAAAAGATGAATAAATAAATAAATAAATAAATGAAACGCCCCCCAAAATGTAGTGCTGACATGCTGTCTAGTGTTCCTAACTGCAAGAAAGCTGTTACTTCGATAAGTTTAATAAGGTATGAGTTATAGTACTGTTGATTGTGAGTTCAATGTTAATAAATCAATAATATACATTAAATAAGTTTTTTTTTTAACAGAAATATGCATAGAACAAGGTTATGTATTGATCAGTTGACAAAAGTGTGGTGAACAGGGGCTTGCAGGAACCTAACCCTTTATTTCTCCTAGAAGCAATGGTTCAGTATTTGTTAACTCAGTGTTCACGGCAACTTTACAGCATTACTGAATAATAAGAACCAACTATAATTACAAAGAGCTGTTGTAGGTTATGTGATGTAGCTACAGTCACAGTACTGCAAGAGCACAGAGAATTAAGTAAACACACCTAAGGGATCAGGAAGGGCCTCACAGGGGAAGTGAAGTTTGAGATGTGCATTGATGGGTAAATGAGAGTTCCCAGGAAGGAGAGGGTCTGGAAGGGCATTTCAGGTGGAGAAATTAGCAGGCATAAAAATGCATCTTATTCCAACTTCTTTCCCTGCATTATTTTCATGGTAGGTCTAGGACCTTCGAGGCCCAAACCAAGTGCTGGCCACAATCACACGAGAGACAACTGAAGGAGTCAAGCACAGTTGACCTTGAACAACATGGAGGTTAGTGATCCCAACCCCTTTCACTGTCGAAAATCCATGTATAATTTTTAATGTTCCAAAAACTCAATTGCTAATAGCCTACTGTTGACTGTAAGCCTTATTGATAATGCAAACTGTTGATTAACACATATTTTGAATGTCTTACATTTATTATATACTGTATTCTTATAACAAACAAAATAGTTGCGGAAAAGAAAATGTTATTTAGAATATCAAATGGAAGAGAAAATATATTTAGTATTCATTAAATGGAGGTGGATCATCATAAAGGTCTTCATCCTCATCGTCTTCACATTGAGAAGGTTGAGGAGAAGGAGGAAAAGGAGAGTTGGTTTTGCTATCTCAAGAGTAATAGAAGCAGAAAAGGTGGAGGAGGTAGAAGCGGAGGCAGGAGAGGCAGGCACACTCAATGTAACTTTACAGAAATACGTCATAATTTCTGTCTGACTTTTTGCCTTCTCATTTCTCTAAAAATGTTTCTGTATAATACAAATCCTTCTTTCGCTATTTGCCTTAGTTTCAGTGCCCACATCATAGAAGGGTCCATGTGATAACAGAAGTCAAAAGTCATCTTGAGTAACCAAAACCCGTTGCCAGATTGTCTAACATCAATTTGTTTTCTGATATTGCCTCTTTTACCTCTTCTTCCTTATTGTCTGGTACTGGTTCAGTAGCACTCATCTCCATCAAGTTGTCATCTTCTGTCAATCCCTCTGGAGTGGCATCTATTAGCTCTTGATTTCTCCAAGATCCATATCTTGAGACCCTTCACACAGACCTCTCACCCACCTTTTCGCCATATGCTCAATCTCTTTCATGATTTTCTTGATTGGCTCTGCTGCAAATCCTGTGAAGTTATGCACAACATCTGAACACAGTTTTCTCCAGCAGGAACTTGTTGTTTTG